TTTCCACCTCGTGTCCCCTTGGTGGTCAGGATCACTGCTGTGTGCAGAGCCAGGCCAGGCAGGAGCTGCTGAGAGACGCTTGGTTAGGAAGTGGGCAGGTGCCCACTCTGATTACGCTGGCTCTGGGGCCGCCTGGGGGGACCCTCCCTGGTGGTGCCACAGCCCTGTGCTGGCTGCTGGAGGGAGACAGGCGGCTGACCACAGGGCCATCTGAGCTGGCTGGGAACACCGGCATCCTGCTGACCGGGTCGCCCAGCTGTGCCCCTCCCCGCCCACGGTGCATGCCCAGCCCTGTGACCAGGAAGTCATCTCCATGGAGACGTGGGCACGGCCAGCCCCCCTGCCACGCCCTGGCCCTGGGCATCCTGAGGTGGCAACTCTGCACGGGTCACACAGTCCTGGGGGCCTGGGGACGGGAGCTATTGAGTGCCTGTCGCAGGGGGGAAACTGAGGCCCAGAGAGGCATAAGTTCCCGCGTGAGGGCGCATGCGGCTGTCCCAAGGCCGGTGTATTTTGCAGCCACTTTGCAGGAGATGCCCTGATGTTGGGGAGCCCCCCGGGGGCGACTTGGCCCGTTAGGCTGGTGGCCTTCGACACACCGGGCAGCTGCCCTGGCATGGGTGGCTCTGCCTGCCCCCAGCTCCGCCGTCTCCAGACAGAGCGCGGTGGCCGCAGTTTCGGAGAACCTGGCCTGCAGCCTGCGCTTGCCGGCCTTACCGGGGGCCCCCAGGCCTGTTTTTCCCTTTGAGACGGAGGCTTTGCTAAGTCACCAGCTGGAACCCTCCTGCCTCAGCCTCCCCGGATGGCGGGCTGACCGCCGTGCGCCCTCCCTGGTGGCGAGCCCGGAGTTGTGGTTGCTGCGCCTCCTCCCGCCTGTGGGGGTTCGCTGCGCCCTCCGTGCGCGCTGCTGGTAGCGATCGGGCGGGTGGGGGAGCCGCACCTGGGCATTGGGGTCCCCCCCCTCCGAGTTTTCAAACCCGCAGCCGGCAGCGCCGAGCGGCCATTGGCCGCGCTCAGGGCCGCCCCCGCCGGATCGGGTGTCGCGCGCCGGCCGGCCGCCCATCTGGTTCCAATCTGGCCCGCGCCCCACCCGGGGGGCCCTCCCCGGCGCGCCCCGCCCCCACCGGGGACCGTGGGTGCCCTCCCTGCGGCCCTCCTGCTAACCCCCGCGCTTGGGGTGTCTGGGCCCCTCTGGCGCCCGGGCACCGGCCTCCGTTGCCATGGCCACGGTCAGCTGGGGAGAGGCCACGGGGCCGCGGGCGGGCGGGCGGCCGGGCGGGAGGTGTGCGCCCCTGGCGCGGCCCTAGGCGCCGGCCACGCCCACTTCCGGGCCCGGTCACGCCCCTACCCTGGCCCCGCCCCCAGCTCTAGGCCCCGCCCCCTGCGCGCTGGGCCGCGGCCTCTCCGGGTCCTCGGCGCGCGCCGAGCGGGACCAAGTGGACGCCGCCGCCGCGGGCTCGCCCGTCCCGACCGCCCGGGTGAGTGCGCCCCGCGCCCCTCCTGCAGCCCGGCGCCCGCACCTCCTTTGTCCTCTCCCCTCCCCGCCCCCTCCTTCCGGCTCCGTGATGGTGGGGGGTCCCCGCGCCCGGCGCGCTCCCGCCAGGCCCTGTGACGGCGAGGCCCCCTCCCCGCCCGCGCGCGCACTGCGGGGAGAAAACGCGGACCGTTATGCTCCGCGCCCTCCGCCCCTCCCCCGGCCGGGGGCGGGGCCAGACCCGAGGGGCGGGGCCAGACCCTAGAGGGGGCGGGGCGGGGCGGCACTCGGCCCCAGCCCCCACCCCGGGATCCCAGAAAGTTTCTGCTAGGTGTCTGCTCGCGGGGCGCTGCTGCTGGATGGGGCCTCTGCCCAGGAAGGGGTCTGGGGCGCTCCGCCTGCCTTCCCTGGGTAGCCGCACCTTGAACCCCGCAGAGGGACAGACACACCTCGGAGCTGCAATTCCCATCCTCACCCGAGGCCTCCATTCCGGGGTGCAAAGGGGGACAGAACCCCTGGCCGGCCTGAATGGGCCCAGCTGTGGGCCGTGATTCGATTCTGTCGTGTCAGTTTCCGCCACCTGGAGGCCCGACCCGGGTCAGGTGTGCAGGGGCTCTGTCACGTTCTTGGCGTGGAGCAAGGCGCCCCTCCGTGGGAGACAGGCTGTGATGGCAGGCGCACGGGCCTCTCCGGGCGCTGAGAAACTCCGTGTCTGACTAGGGCACCGTAGGGGCTTCCTGGGGGAAGGGACAGCTGCGGCTGGGCTGCAGGGGAGGCAGGGGCACCCTGGTAGCAGAGGCATGTGAGGTGGGGTCGGCAGCTCTGGGAGGCCAGCTGGGAGCCATGGCCCTGCTGGAGTAGCTGGGGGTCCCGGGAGGCCCCGGAAACAGGGTCCAACAGCGCTGTGCTCTGGGGTCCCTCCTTGGCCCACTGCCACTTATCCAGCCTGGGGGTCTCAGGGGAGCCTGGCTTAGGTGCACCGTGCCTGGAGGACCCCCGGGGAGATGCCACCACCAGAGTGGGGAGTGGACCCCACCTTGTGCCAAGACTCGAAGCCTGCAGCCGCCTGCCCAGCTCATAATTGGCCCTTTATCCCGCTGGGCTGCGTGGGAGCCCAGAGCCTGCTGGGCCCGTGACCCGCCCTGGGGGGAAGGGGGCTGCCCGTCCCTCCCCTGCCAAGTCACATGCGTGACTCGTGAGGTCCCCAGCTCAGGCTCTTGGGGAGTCCCTGGGTCCTCACAAGCCTCAGTTTCTCCTCCGGGAAGGGCCAGCTGCCACACAGTGAGCAAGGAGCCTGGTGTCCAGCACAGGGGCCGCTCGGCCTGTGGCCAGCTGGGGCACAGGGACCACGGGAAACCCAGTTCCAGTGGCCTTCTGTGCCCTTCACTCCCGCCTGGCCGTGCTGGCCGCCTGCCCGTTCTGTCCTGCGGCCCTGTGGATCACCCTGCCCTGTTCTGCCGAGTTTCCTCAGCTTGGCAGGGGAGGTGATGGTGGCTCGGTTGCTATGTGACGCTAAGGGACAAGGGGAGGCTTGCACCGAGATGGCCCCATCTCTCCCAGTCCCTTCCAAGACCCCGGGAGCTGCTGTTGGTCCTTCATGTGGGGAGACACCCGCAGCCCAATTCCCCTTTTGTCGTTTAGTTCTGAGCAGGTTAATAGTAATCCAGTTCAACTCTGGCCCCTGTGCAAAGGCCCTGGGGCAGCACGAGCCCCATGTGGCCAGAACAGAGGGAGGAGGGCAGAGGAGTGAGCCGGGCAGGGCCCTGTGGACCTCAGGGAGGACCCGGACTGCCGGGAAGGGCTGCTGTGTGGAGGGCGAGAACCAGAGCACCGAGGAAGAGGGGACCATGCTGGGGTCCAAGTGGAGGCTGAAGAAGGGACTGAGCTGCAGGGAAGCTCCTGAGAACCAACCTGACGGGGTCAGGGCGGAGAATCCCTGTATCTTCTGAGAAGGGAGACTCTTGTGCCATCTCAGGAAGTTCCCGTGGGGAGGTTGAGGCAGAGGGGCTCGGGAATCTTGTGTTTGCTGAGGTGGCGCTGGGGCTCTGTCCTGCCCCGGGGTCTTTGCACGTGTGGTCACCAAATGCAGATGGCTGAGGGGGCCTGTGGGTTTCCTGTCCCCGTGCCTGGCACAGCCCTGCCCTTGGAGACACAGGGTGGCCATGGGCCAGCGAGGTCAGGGCCGGGACAGCCCGGGACTCAATGCTGCCAGCGTGGAAGACGCCATCCCTGCTTCGTGTGTGGAACTTGGGGGGCCCTGGGGGCTGTAACGATAGCCCCAGTTTCCTCGGACACACTCTGTGCTGTCTCACCGATCCAAGTGGCCCGGGCCTGATCCCTACTGCGCAGAGACAGCCACGCAGATGGCCCTAGGGGTGGGGTGCCCCTGTGGTCATCGTGGTCAGCCTGGCCCTGTGCCTGCTGCCCGCCTACCGCCGCGGGTCTTGGAGCTCTTAGAGGGCAGCGACGAGGCTGAGCTCCCCGTCCTGGTCCGGTCTCTAGGCTACGCCGAGCAGGGGTCCTGGCTGACTGCATGGGGCCACGGAGGCCAGGTTCTCACGCATGTCTGTCACCCGAGGGCTGATCCTGTCCCTCCCCCCTTCCGCCCCGTCCCTGACCCGGCCGCCGAAGGGACTAACCCCCATGGCTGGGCTGGGCGAGGAGACCGCAGCGGATATTTCGGGCCCGCCTGGGCCTCCTGCCGGCCCGGCCCTGCTGGCCCGAGTGGAGCTGGGTGCTGGGCGGCAGCACAGGGTGGTCGGCCGGGACCTTGCAGGAGAAACGGTCTGCAGCCAGCGCGGGTGCCTCGGGGATGCAGAGAGGGCTGTGCGTGGGCATGACCTTTGGGGGCACAGGGGGCTGGTCAGGCGGTAACAGGCCCGGGCCTCCTGCGTCCTGGCCCGGTGGTGTGACAGGACTCACGGTCAGCAGGGACCTTGGCCTGGCTGAGGCAGAGTTTGGGGTGCGGGGCGCTCAGTCCTGCCTGGGGTTCAGCCTGAGGTCGGCTGGCCAGAGCTGAGGCCCAGCTGGTCACGGGGGCCCCGACCCCAACCCTGTAGCCCAGGTCTTGGGTTTAGTGGGGGACTCCTGGGAGGTCAAGGCTTGGGGCGCTGGTGTCCTGCTGGGCTCTGCGGCCCGCGAAGGGCCCTCTAGGAGTTTCCCTTTCTCCTTCCTGTCTTTCTTCCTTTTTTCCGGGGTGGGGGGGGGTTGAACCCGGGCCCTTCATGCTGAGCCAGGCCCGGCCCTTTGTTAATTTTTTATTCTGAGATTTGCTGCATTACCTAGGTTGGGCATGAACCTCCACCCTCCTGCCTCAGCCTCCCGAGTGCCCGGTGCCAGGCGTGCGCCCGTACCCATCCCGCAGCCTCTTTTCCCACGCCTGAGGCCCGTGCCCCCTGGTGTGGCCTCTGCGGTGCCCCTCCTGACCCCATCCCCTGGACATTAGGCCCCTGCCTGCCTGCGGCCCGGCCGGCCCTCCCAGCTCCCCCAGCAGCCTCCCCGTCTCATGGCCCCCATTTCTCTGCAGACGCTGCCCCTGCTGACGCCCAGTGAGGAGCCTCCCTTCCAGAGCCGGGGCCCAGCCCCTCGGGGCGGAGGGCGGAGGGCGGAGGTCGGCGGTCACCGACAACCGGCAAGCATGGCGCCCGCCTGGGGCCCTGGCGTGGTGTCCGCGGTGGGCCCCGTGGGCCTTGTCCTGGTCCTGCTGGTTGGAGGCTGTGCTGCGGAAGGTAAGGGGCAGTGAGGGGGCGCGGGTCTGCGGGTCTACTCACATGTGAGGGTCAGTGGCCCCCTCCTCCTTGATGCAGGAAGCAGGGACTTGAGGCGACCCTTGAGTGAGTGAGCCACAGAGTTCACCTTCCTTTCCACAGGGCAGAAACATGCAGGCAGACAAACCCCTGCACAGCCACGAAGGCTTCTTTGGAGACAGGGCACTGTGGCTAGGGTTTTGTGAGGCTGTAGGAGTTCAATGATGGCAGTGGCTTTCCTGGAGGAGTGACAGTGCATGGAAAAGGCTGGTGGTTTAAGAGGTCGGTGTGGTTAGAGGTGAGCAAGACTGCGCGGGTGGCCGTCACCTGAGGAGGAGGAGGAGCAGTTTCACGCCGGGAAGTGGTGGAGCTGGTGCTTGAGCCCAGGTTCCTGAGCACCACGCCGCCTCAGGGCAGGGCCTGGCAGGCTGGGCTGGTCTCTGGCCTCCCCAGGACCTGACCTCCGTGCGGGCAGAGACACTGAGCACGTTGATTTCTTCATGCCTTCCAGTAGCGCAGGCAGGCAGGGTGCTGACACAGGGACACGGACCGCGGCCGATCCTGGGGACTGAAGGGCGCCAGGGGGCTTCAGGGTGTATTGGGAAGGGGCAGGCGGAGGCCATGCTAAGGGGCGACTACAAGGACCGAGCCTTGCACTCCATGAGAATCGGGGGCAGATGTCCCAGACAGCCGTGTAAAGGCCCTGGGGCAGCACAGAGTCCAGCAAGGTGCAGGAGCCACAGTGAAGCTGCCTGGCTGAAGCAGAGTGAGGAGGGGCAGAGAGGGAGCCGGCAGCTGGGGAGGGGCCGCTGGGACCTGCAGGGCCCGCAGCTGCAGGCTTGGCCCACAGGGTGGGTGGGAGCCCTGGAGAGCTGGGGCAGAGAGAGGAGCCGATTCGGTGCTCACCGCGCCCTCTGGTGGCTGCTTGGGGAGGACGGGCGCAGGGTGGGCCGGTGAAGCAACAGGTGTGACCTGGCTCGGTGGCCTGCAGGGCCGGAGGCCTCAGGCAGGACCCAGGCTCACACCCACGTCTCTAGCTCCGAGGTGCAGGGGTGGCGCTGGCTCGAAGGAGCCCGGGCACCGGGCCCACAGGCTGCCGTGAGCGGTGACCCAGGCCTCTGGGCGGCCGGAGCCCACACCTGACCCCTGCCCTCCAGGGCTCTTCCCAGGAGGCTGCGGCCTGGGGCGGGGACAGGGCGGGAGCCTGGCTGGGTCTGGCTCTGGCGCCAGCTTCCCCACCCCGCACCCCGCCACCCGGTCGGGCCTGGAGTGGCCAGGGCCGCCTTGGCCCTGCCCCCCTGTAGGCGCTGGGGACCCTGCAGTCTGTCACCCCCCTCCACGGGCCCGAGGGAATTTGGGTTGTTTTTCTTGGTCCCTTGGCCGGAGACAGGGGAGGCCCCGTGCCAGGCACGGATTCCAAGAATCCACGCGGAGCTGCGGCCGAGCCCCAGCGTCCCGGGCGGGGCAGCCTGGGGGCTCCTGGCCAGCCGCTGTGACCCAGTGCCGAGTTCCTGGCAGGGGACACTGGTGGCCGGGGGAGGAGGGCGGCCCAGGCAGGGGCAGGCGGCTGTGGGCCAGGGCCCAGTGCCACCAGGGCTGGGCCGAGACTCGGGCTCCGGGGTCCCTGCTGCCCTTGTGGCCTGGGGCAGCCTGGCCCTTCTGTCCGGGAGCCCACGGGGCGGCGCCTGCCCCTGTGCAGGGCCGCTGGTGTCTGAGGGTCAGCAGGAGCAGCACCGGCCGGGGGAGGTGAGGCCGGCCGGGCCTCGGCGTGGCTCCAAGCCGGCCTGAGTGCGAGGGGAGGAGAAAGGGGCCCTCGGGACCCAGATTTGGAGCTGGAAGCTTCCTCGGGCTTCTTGGAAAATTCACGCAATCTTCCTGGAGAGCTGGTTCGGCCTGTGGGCCCAGCCACCTCTGTCCTGTACTGCCCAAGTTTGAGGCTTCAGGGCTCCCCCCGCTCTGACCCTCATACTATCATTTGCTTTAGAAATAGAAAAACACTTAAAAAAATCACATCACTTTGTTTCCTTCTTTTCTGAGCTAGAGCCTCCACCGTGTAGCCCAGCCTGGCCTGCAGTTTGCGGAGTCCCCCTGCCTCAGCCAGCAGTCCCCTGGCCCTGATCATGTGACGCAGTACAGTCAGGACAGCAGCTCTGCTGAGCTCCGAGCCCCGCTCCCGCACTCTCCTCTCCGCACCCTGCTCCCTTCTGCTGAGGTGTCACCTGTGTCCCCAGAGCGGGCTTAAGAACCCGAGAAGGGACTTCCAGGCCGCCGTGCCATGGAAACCTGGCATCCCCGATAAGGGGAGCCGCCCTGACTTTCCCAGGAACGGAGCCGCCCGGGGGCCCTGGCGCTCTGGGAGGCCGAGGCAGGAGGGTCACAGGTTGCAGCCAGGCCTGGGCAACGTGGCGAGACCCTAACTCAACTGAAAAGGGCTGGGGCCGTGGGGCTCGCTGCTGCCCGTGGCCAGCCCTGTGAGGGTGTGTACCAAAGCCAAGGGTCCTGCCAGATCCCTGCCTCAGTTTCCCCTGGCATGAAACAGGGATGGCAAAGGCCCCTGTCATCAGCACTGCGGGCACACTGGGCTGTTTTCCGGCCCCAGCCCGTCTCTGGCTCGGGCCTCTCCCAAGAGCTCTGGGTTGAAGGCCAGCTCTGACCCCGGGTCCCACGGCCACCTCTCTGCCTGGGACCTCCATCTGTCCATCTGCCGTACCAGGGAGTCGCCATGCTGCCCCGAGTCTCTCCGGGGCTGGAATGGGACCCCAGGGTCTCCAGGCCTCAGTCACCCCTCCTGCTGTGCCCGGGGCCCCGGGGCTGAACAGGGGTCCCGTGAGGCTGCGTGTGTGTCACCTTGGTGGCTGGGTGGGGTGGGGGACAGTTCTGTGGTCCTGGGGATCCCACCATGAGCCTCCGAACCCACGGGCGCCCCCCTCTCTTCCTGTCGAATCCCAGAGCCCCCCAGGTTCATCAAAGAACCCAAGGACCAGATCGGCGTGTCGGGCGGCGTGGCCTCCTTCGTGTGCCAGGCCACGGGCGACCCCAGGCCCCGAGTGACCTGGAACAAGAAGGGCAAGAAGGTGAACTCGCAGCGCTTCGAGGTGAGCCCGCAGGCCGGGGCCCCGCCCAGCCCATGGTCACCTGCTCCGTGGCGGGAACAGCGTGGCGGAGAAAGACCCCGAGGCTCTTGGGGGTCGGGAGACAGGAGGAGCCAGAGACAAGAACACATGCCTGGCGCCCGGCCCCCGGGCGGGAGGCTGAGGCAGGACACTTACTGAGGTCCTGTCTCAGAATAAAAAATCAGAAGGGGCTGAGGTGCAGCTCACCGCGGGCCCGAGGTTTGATTCCCAGCACCAAAAACTAAAACAGGAAACCAACACAGGCCTCCGTGCAGGTCACACCCCAGCCGCCAGCCCTGGGAGAGCCCCCCGGGGTGCAGGGCGCCCCTCTGAGCACCTGGGATTTGGGGGGCATTTAGCCCTAACCCACAGTGCCATACTCACCCACCCCGGATTTCCGTGTGCAGCCCCAGCTTCTCCCTTGCCCCCGGGCCTCGGGGTGCCACCAACTGCCCGCACCCCAGCCTCGCCCCGTCTGTTCTCCCCGTCCCCACAGACAATTGAGTTCGACGAGAGCTCGGGGGCCGTGCTGAGGATCCAGCCCCTGCGGACGCCCCGCGATGAGAACGTGTACGAGTGTGTAGCCCAGAACTCGGTGGGGGAGATCACAGTGCACGCCAAGCTCACCGTCCTTCGAGGTACCGGGCTTCCCGGGGTGGGAGCCTCTGAGAAGTGTGAAAAAGATGGTGTGGTGGCCCACGCCTGTCATCCCAGCATTTGACGCTGAGGCAGGAGGATCTCAAGTTCCAGGCCAGCCTGGCCTACACAGTAAGACCCTGCACGGAACCTGCAGAGAAACCAAAATACCACGAGGTTACTCCTCCTCATTTCTGTCTCACGCAAGCTCTTCTGATTGTAAGAGGAAATCAGCCTCTAACCCATGTGAAGACGGTGGTTGGCTCATTGAGTAATGGGCTTCAGGTTCAGCTAGATCCAGGCGCACACCAGTGTTTCCAGCCATCCTTCCTGTGCCCTTGCCTTGTCTGCATGGTGCCTTTCTCTTTGGTGGAAGCCCAGCCCTGCCAGCACTCAGGACCCCCTTGGGTGGAACCACTGACCCAGGATGGACCCGAGTCCCCCATGCTGCTGGTGGCCGGAACCACCCTGCAGACCCTTCCCACGCACACATGGCCTTGAACCGCTTGCTGCCTGGCTTGAGTGGCCTGCGGGGTGCCAGGACCTGAACACAAGTCCTCAGGCCACCAGCTGTGGCCTCTCTGTGCTGGGGTCAGGGAGAGCCAGGCCTACCTCGAGGGCCGCACCTGCAGACCGGAAGAGTAAATGAGGCGGAGATGGCAGTGCTGCGCACGCCTGGCCCGCTTCTCCCTGGGTACTCGGGCACTGTTAATATTCTTTATTGGGTTATTTGCAGTTCTGGGGTAGGAACCCAGGGCCCTGACACTGAGCTGCATCCATGGCTTGTTTGATTTTAAGACAGGGCCTTGCTGTGTTGCCCAGGCTGGGCTCCAACTTGGGACCGTCCTGCCTCAGCCTCCAGAGCTAGGCTGTCAGGCGTGGGCCCCCATGCTGGCTTCTTACGTCCTAAGGAGGGATCCTCCACTAGGGGTTCGCGTGGGTCCCTGCAGCGAAGGCTGCAGTGAAAACTACCTTTACTCTGACTTTTCTCGGCTTGGGACAGGGCCGCCTGGCCCTGCCTGCAGCAGCCTCCTTGGTCAGCCCGTCCCCTGGGGTCCCCTGTCCTCCTGCCATGGCCCCGGACCTCCCTGCCCCCTCCCTCCGCCTCACCTCATTGTGGACGCCCCGCACGCCTCCATCGCTGTTGTTTTAATTAAACTCCAAGGAATCAGGCACAACGCGGAGCGCGAGGAACATTTCTGTTTAATTAGGAGCTCGCGGAGCTGCAGGCAGCCTGGGCCTCCCCCTCCCGCTCCAGCAGCTGCTGCCCACACAGCTCGCGGAGCCTGGGGCTGTGTGCATGCCGGGAGGTCTTGTGCACGCACGTGGGCGTGGTGCACATGCACGTGCACCTGCCCCCCACCCACACGCGTGTGCACACGCTGGACGCCCTCAGTCCGCTTTTGCACCAAACCGAGGCGCAGGCCCTGGTTTGCCTTAACCTCGGATGACGTCATCGGCAGCCAATCAGTGCCGCCGGCGAGGCGGTCCTGGCTTCGGACCCCGCGGCCCCCTCAGCCCACCCGTGCGGATCCCAGCTCCGGTGCGGGCTGGCGGCCCTCGGTGTCCCGTGCCCAGCCGTGGCCTTGGCCTCTTGGGCTCTTGGTCCCCTTGCTCTGTGCCGAAGGCTCCTCTGCCTTCCGCAACGGCAGCTTCTGCCCCTCTCTGTGCCCACTCATCTCTCCACTGTCTCGGTGTCTCTTCTGGCATGGCAGGCAAATCTGTGTCTGTCCTTCCCTTTGACGCGAACCACGAAGTCCTCCTCTGTGTCTGGAAGTGGAGATAATGATTTCCAGCCCCACAGGCCAGGTGTCAACAGCGCCACCTTGCAGTGACGGGAGTGAGCCCCCAGCGAGTAAGGGAAGCTGTGCCAATAAAACTTTATTAACAAACAGGCAGAGTGCCAATAAAACTTTATTGGCAAAACAGGTGGAGTGTGCCAGTGAAACTTTATTAACAAAATAAGCAGAGTACCAGTTAAACTTTATTGATAAAAGCAGAGCGTGCCAGTAAAACTTTGTTGACAACACAAGCAGAGAGTGGCAATAGAACTTTGTTGACCAAAGAAGCACAGAGTGCCAGTAAAACTTCATAACAAAACAAGCAGAAAATGCCAATAAAACTTTATTAACAAAGTATCCAGAGGACCCGATGTGGGGCCCCTGGAAGGGGACATAGTTTCAGAGCCTTGATCTGTGCTGTCTTTCACTTTGAACTTTACTGCTTGCCAGTATTAGTCATGCAAAGCCGCTCAGTTGCCCAGGCTGTGCTAAACTTGTGATCCTCCTGCCTCAGCCTCGAGTAGTAGTTCAGTATCCCATCCACAGGTGGTACCATGGCGCTCGCCCCTGTCCTTGGTGTTTGTATCATCTCCGACCTCCACCTGCCATTTCTAGCTCCTCGGGGATCAACGTGTGCCCCCAGCCCACACACCTGAGCTCTGACACCTGCTTGCTTCACCAGGTGCCCACTTATTTCGGATCAGTGGCACCAGATAGTGCCCCCACGCACAGCGTGGCAGGGCTGGTTCCTCTGCTGTCTCTGGGCTTTGCAGGTGGCGTCTGTGCCGTGTCCTCTCGCTTCCTCTCCCCGTGTGCCGTGGCCTGGTCTCGTCCCTTCTGCTTTTCAGTACTGAGGACTGAACCTGAGCCTTCTCCCTAAGCTACATCCCCAGCCCCCTTTTAAACTTTTTAGAGGCAGAGCTTCACAAAAATTGCCAGACTGGCCTCACACTTGTGACCCTCCCGCCTCAGCCTCCCAGGTGCTGGGATGACCAGCACTAATGACTGCACCCAGCCGGATCTCTTTGCAGAAGGACCAAGCCCTACCCACGCCTCCAGACTGTCACGTTCTGTGGTCCTGATTCAGTGTGAATGCGTTGGACTTGGTTTCGGTTTTTAGATGGGGTCTCACCATGTGATGAGCGTCCCAGACATCGCTGGGTGCGGGGTAGGCCACTTGGGGACCAGGCCCCACCCTCTGCCTGCCTTGTCTCTGCCCTCAGAGGACCAGCTGCCCCCCGGCTTCCCCAACATTGACATGGGTCCGCAGTTGAAGGTGGTGGAACGGACACGCACGGCCACCATGCTCTGTGCGGCCAGTGGCAACCCAGACCCAGAGATCACGTGGTTCAAGGACTTCCTCCCTGTGGACCCCAGCGCCAGCCACGGGCGCATCAAGCAGCTGCGATCCGGTGAGCCCGGGCTCGGCGCCGTGTGGGAGCCTTGGAGGGCAGGAGAGGGACGATGGGACCTCGCCACAGCCCGAGCTGGCGGGGCTGGGTGGGACAGGTCGGCAGGGTGGAGGGCGCTGCCCCGCTGGACGCCCGTGAAGCCGCCTTGTGGGGATGGAGCAGAACTCAGGCATGCGGAGGGCGCAGGGCACCGCGGATGCTGGGGGCAGAATGGGGAGCCGTACACCAGTGCCAGAGCTGCAGGGATGCCAAGGGCCACCCAGGCTGTTGGTATGGGCCATGGCAGGGCTGGGGTGACCGCCAGGTGGGCAAGGAGGCTCTGCCCACCCTTGGCAAGGCTCCCCCAGCGGCATCTCAGTGAAGTACCCACGTGCCCATCGGCGAGTCTGTCTGTCTGTCTGTCCATCCATCTGGGTGCCGTGTGTGGGGGTGTGTCCCCTGTCCCGTCATGCTTCTCGCCTGTGTGTGTGGCTGTCCGGGCTGAGCTCCTGCCTGTGTGTGGTCACGGAGGCCCCGTCCCCACCCCAGGGCCAGGCCTGTCCTCCTGCTCCTTGTCCGTCCCCGCGGGGCCGCCAGCTCCATGCCGCCCCCGGCACAGGTGTGGCCCCTCTGCACACACCTGTGCTCATGCTGACGTTTTCCCTGTTGCTGGCTCAGGCCTGAGACCCTGCCTCCTTTGGGGGCTGGGGAGTCCCTGCACCTCCCACGCACCCCTCTTCCTGGTTTCCCTCAGGGCCCCCCAAGCTGTCTGTCTGGTCGGGGCAGAGCCTCCTCCTAGGAGGGACCCCGACCCCAAGCTCTTGTGGCTGCGGCCCCCTGAGGCACCACTCCCCGTGCAGAGGTGCCTCCCAGGGGCGTCCGTGCGTCCTAACCCTAACGTGCCTGTTCTCTTTTCTTGTCCCTCTGTGTAACGGTCAGAAACCTTTGGTAAGTCCGACACCTTCACCGTGCCCGGCACTAACGCCCCGGCTACCCTGCGCCCCCTCCTACCTCTGCCCCCAGAACTAACGGCCACCGTGACGGTAACCGTGACCCCACGTGGCATGTGTACTAACGTCCACCCCACCCAGCGCCCACCCGGCCCTCCTCAGCCGGGTCCCAGGGTGCCCAGCACCGAGCCTTGAAGGAACAAAGGAAGGGGACCGCCTTGCCCGGTGCTGGACCTCAGCGTGGCACTCGCCCCCGTGGGCCCTGACGCAGGCTGGTTGAGTCTCACAGGGCACCGTGCCCTCCTCCTCCTCCTGTCTTATTCTGGGATTTAGCGCTGCTGGGAAAGGATTTAATTAGCAAAGTTTGGGAGCTGGAGCTGGAGCTGGAGCTGGTAGTTTTCCAGTGGGGCTGGCTTTGGGCACGTGCCACCCTCTTTTCCCAGCATGCAGCTCTTCTGCTGTGGAGCAGACTGCTGGGCTCGCTCTCACTAAGGGGAGAGTGACTGATAGCCGCCCATGAGACACTGGCGCTCACCCCAGGAGGCAGAGCTGCCAAATCACTCGGTGTCTGCGCTTCTTAGCCTGTTGGGTGGCCACAGGCGATGTGGCCATGTGGGGGGCCTGGGTTCTTCACCCCTGGCCTCTCCAGTGGTCCTCAAAGTCTGGCAAGACTCAAGCACGGCCTTAAAAGGGTCGAGCATAGCTTGGAGAATGTGGGGCCACAGGAAGTCCAGGCTACAGCTGGCCCCGGCCCTGTCCTGCCTCTGCCTTGTGCAGTGATCTCAGAAACACCACGCCCCCGCCTCAGTTTACCCATGTGTAAAGCAGACCTAACCAGCCTCCCCGCTGAGGGTGTCCTGTTCCGGCCTGGGCCCCCTGGGCCAGACGCACACCAGACCTTTCCTCTTTTCCTTTGTGGGGTGAAAAAGGCTGCAGGGTCCCCTTCCCTCGTCCCCCCTGGCCTTGGTGACCTCTCCCCCGGCTCCCTCAGCGCCCAGCCCCGGGCACTAACCTGCCCCCCTCCTCCGTCTCTAACAAGATCCCGACCCCCCATGCTTCCTGCCCCCCTATCTGGATGTGAAGTCAGTGGCCTTGCCAGACCCCTAAAAGTGCCAGAAACAAGGGGCGTCCATGCATCCTTCCCTGGAGACCCCATCCTCCTCCAGGAGGCCCCCCGAGCCCCCCAGGAGGTCACCCGCAGAGGCCCACGCCCGCCTCTGACGCTCACTGGCTCTCTCTGCTTCCCTTACAGAAAGCACTCCAATCCGAGGTAAGAGGTGCTCCCCGCTCTCCTGCCCCAGGTCCCCAGGGGCGCCCGCCCCCACTCTCCACGCTCTCTCTCCGTCTGTGGGTCTCTGTGTCTCCGTCTCTGTCTGTGGCACCGAGTGTGGCAGTGGGTGACTTCTGGGCCCCCCTGCTGGGGAGTGGCACATCCCTGGAGCTTTATGATCTGGGGGTGTCCTCTAGGGCCAGATTGGACTCCGCCCCGGCCCCAGTGTTGCCCCAGCCTGGACAGCGGGCGCCCAGGCCCAGCGTGGCCGCACAGTGCTGTGTGATGTGGCCCCACCCTGTCCATCTCCATGGCGGCTCCTCCAGGCCTGCTTCCCCAGAGCCCTGGGGGGCACAGCGTCCCCGTCCGGGTCCCGTCACTCCTGTGGGGCCACCAGAGACAGCAGTGAGCTGGGGCTGGGTTTCTGGACTCCTTGTTTTAGGGTCTCCAGAGACACTGCGGTGCCAGGCGCCCTCACATCCTGCTTGGTGGCCTCCGCAGGCCTCCGTTGACCTTAGCAGCCTCGTTGTCCTACAAACCCAGGACTGCAGGCCGGGCGGGTGCCACGTGCCCGAGCTGCGGCACTCGGGAGGCTGAGGCAGGAGTGCCGGCCTCCAGGGTTAGAAGTCGGCCTGGGCTGCACCTCGAGGCTCTGTCTCCACAAAAACAGCCCGAAAAAATCAGTCAGCCACTCCCCATGATTTTACACAAATCAGCCCCCTTTTCATAAACTCAGAGTACAAAGACGTGGGACGGGGTCTGTGATTTTAAACACGCTTGAGAAGTTGGCCTCTGCTTTGGTTTTAGTTTCTTGTGTTTTGTTTTTTTGAGACAGTGTCTCACTACGTAGTCTGGGCTGACCTGCCATTTGCAGTCTCCTGTCTCAGCCTCCCAAGTGCTGAGATTTCAAGTGTCACCACGCCTGACTTTTTTTTTCTGTGTGTGTGTTTAGAATCGAACTCATGACCTCACGGGTGCCAGGGAGGCACTGTGCTGCTGAGCTAAATCCCCAGCCCTACTACTGGGTTTTTTTATGCTTTTATTCATAAGAAAATCTTTGACCCAGGTTTTTTCTCGTGACAGGGTCTCCCTGTGTAGTCTAGGCTGGCCTTGAACCCGCCACTGCCTTACTGTCTCAGCCTCCTGAGTGCTGGGGGTTCAGGGTGCACTGCTGCACCCAGGCTGACCTGGTTTTGATTTGCCTGGGCCCCTCAGCTGTGACTGTCCTCAAGATGGGGGGCCCTGAGGTCCAGCCTCGGGGGTCGGACGCTGGGGAGAGTTCATGCTGCAGTCCTCCCGCACCCGTGGGCGTCCGGGCTTTGGGTCCGGTGCTGGGATTCCATTGCCTCCGTCTCCAGGGTGGCCCCTTCGGTCCCCGAGTCTCTCGAGTGACTTGTGGGTGGCGACCGGCAGCCTCCCCCCTTCTCTGTGTGAAAAGCGTCGCCCATACCCCTCGGGCCAGCAGCTGCCCAGGGTGCCCCCTGTGATTCCCTTTGAGGGGGAGAACAGGTCCAGCTGGGGCCACCTGGGAGCTGGACACTTTCCCTGGCTCTTGGCCTGACACTGGGTACTTGGGCGGCTGCCCCTGCCGCCCTGCGCCCCGCGCCCCTCTCAATGGCCGAGCTCTCTCCCTCTCCTCCAGGGGCCCTGCAGATCGAGAGCAGCGAGGAGACGGATCAGGGCAAATACGAGTGCGTGGCCACCAACAGTGCCGGCGTCCGCTACTCCTCGCCTGCCAACCTCTACGTGCGAGGTAGGGAGCGCTGCAGCCAGGCCCGAGGCGGGCACCGTCCCGTCCCTCCCTCCCAGGGCTCACAGCCTCCGGGCTCCCCCGTCCCCAGCAGACCCGAGCAGGAAGGCCCCCCCAGATACGGTGGGACCCCTGGGCCTCGTTTCCTTGCCTGGAACCAGGGCCGAGCTTGAGTCCGCCAGCCCCCCTCACCCCATGCTGGGGGTCGGGCGCCCCGTGGGCAGCTGGGGGCCACGGGGGAGGTGGTGACGCGAGGTAGCCGGCGGGGTGGGGTGCAGGGGTCAGTCTTGGGCCTACAGGGCTGGGGGAGCCTGCTGGCCTCTGCCCCCCCACCCGCCCACCCCACCCACCCCCTCCCGTTGGCTTCTGTGGTGTGCCGTGCGTTCCTGTGTGTGTGCTGGCTTTGCTTCTCCAGACTCTGTGGCCTCGTAGCTCCTGCTTCACTGCCCCGTCCAGCGCCCTCGGTCTCAGGGGAGGGGTCTCAGGCTGTCCCCGCCCCTCCTGCTGGCCCAGCACCCTCGCTGCCCCAGGGCCCAGGGCGCTTCCAGGAGGGCACACAGGCCCAGGGCCAGGGCCACGGCAAACACACGCGCCCAGGGGTCCCCGGCGGCCCTGTGCCCAGCCGCGCCTCTGGGTCTCTCTTCCCACCTCCTGCTTAGTTGTGGCCGGAAGCCCAGATCCTTGCCCCATCAGCCCCCCAACACCCGCACTCCAACGAGGTTGCCTGCCGGGTCCCCTGTGCCTTCCCAGGCAGTCTGGGGGCTGCCCGTGCCTCTGGCACCCCTCTCCATCTGCATCAGGCTCCCGAGTCCTGGTAGACATTCTGATGGCCCTCCTCCTCCTCTCTAATTTCCTGCCTCCTGATTGCTGTTTCCGGTCAGATCTGTGATAGAAACAGTGGTCAGGATGCGGGTCCTGAGGAGCCCCACCTGGGTGACCGTGTCCTCCTCCAGGCTCAGTTCCCTTCATGCGGTGCACCAGGCCCTGCCACTCTCCCCCAGCCCCGCAGGCCCTGGGGTGACCCCATCTTGGCTCTGAGGAGGAGGAGGCTGGGGGGAGGCGGGCGGGGGCGCTGGCGTGAGGGTGGGGGGGCACGTCTGGCCCGCCGCGGCGGCCTCCGGTGAGTTGTGAGGCATCCTTGACGCCCACTGAGTGGTCTTCATCTAACCTTGTTGCTCTGCTGACTCCTGGGATGGGGGTTTGTGAGATAGAGTTGGAGGCAGAGAGGAGGAGGGCGGGGCGGGGCGGGGCGGGCGTGCGGGGCGGCCAGCACCGCCCTGCTGGGTCAGAGGTGCTGCAGAACGGATCTAAGAACTGGATTTGAGAATGTGGAGAGGCGTAGATGTAGATCTTGGATGTTGAGGGCAAAGAGCAGAGGAAAGAGGAAGAAATGGTCATTGCTGTTCGTTTTCTTTTTTAATTTTAATTTTTTTTTTTTTGGTTTAAAGAAAAAAACTATTGCAGCTTTCGCCTTGGGAAGTCCTCTTTTTACTCTCTGTATTTCCCCTATTTTTCTCTTCTCCCCATGTCATTGTGTTGCGCATCAAACCCCCTTTACATTCCTCAGAGCTTCGAGAAGGTTGGTGTGTTTTTTTCTTTTTTCCTTTCTTTACCCACATTTTTACATTCCACCACGATGACACGCATACACGTGAAGCACACACAGACACACACACGCACATGGAAAAAATAGTGAGACGAACTAAACAAGATGCAATACGAATAATAAGTGCAAAATTAACTAAATGAATAATCAGTAAATAAATTAATAAATACAAACCGCCAAGGAGAGCAAAACCCAGAAAGACATGAAAACCGCAGCCGCGCCCAGCCCGGCCCAGGGCCGGCCGCACACACGCCATGCTGTCTTGTGGTTGCCCTGCATCTGTTGGTAATGTTGTTGCTAAGTTTTGCACTCGTCGCCATGGTAACTTGGGCCTGATGCATGCTGGGAGAATGTTCGGATTTCTGTGCATGCGACTCTCGGTTGGTTTGGTTTGGTGAATCCAGCGTCCTCTGTTGGAGTGTTTGTCCTCGTTTCCGTTATTCTTTTAGTTTCATTTTGTTTCTTTTGTTTTTCTTTTACTTTTTTAAGTTCTGTTTTGTTTGGGGGAGTCGGTTGGTTCCCCCCCATCTTCTTCACCTGGCGCCCTCCCTCGCCCCTCCCCAAAGCGATCTGTCTTGGTTCTGTCTTGTTTTTGTGCTGTTTTGGTTTGGTTTCCTGGGCTGAGCTGTTCTGTGGTCGTTCCCCAAACGCATTGTGACTTAAAAGCCAGTGTTCCTGTCCCGACCCTCATCTGGGAGGGCGGAAAGGGTCCCCACAGCTGGGATGCGGGCCAGAAAGTGACTGCGCAGGGGCGCTGGGGGAGAGACGAGGCACAGACAGTGGCGGGCGGTGCGTGGGGAGGGCACCCTGATTGCCAGCCCCTGGGCGGCCCCCTCTTCCTTCATCCTCTCCAGGGCCAGGAGCAGGCTTTTCCCGGCCTCCTGCCCTGTCCCCAGCTTGCAGTGTGCAGCGGGACCGGAAGGCCAGCCAGTGAGTGGGGATGTCGGGGGAGAACACGTACAGCCCCGTCCTCCCGGACGCCTCGTGCTGGGCACACTGTGCTCCAAGTGCCAGCCGGCGTGACGGCTTCATGCCTGCCAGCTGGGCACTGGTCCACAGCCACCTGCCCTGGTGCAGCGTCACAGACTTGGGTGGACACTCCCAGCCAGCCCTGCAGCCCAACGCGCTGTGCCTGCACCTCCGGGACGAGGTTGGCTGCTCCCCCCGACGCCCCCCAGGCTGTGGGCCCCTCACAGAATCCTCTGCCCAGCGGCACAGCGCGGTCACTTTCTGAGTTCCCCGTGCATCACAGCTGTGGAGTTCTGAAGGAAACCAGGGGAACTTTGGACACAGCCTCCCCCCGCTCTCCTGTCTCCCGCTTCTCTCTCTGTCTGTCTCTCTCTTTCTCTCTCGTAAGCCCTTAGAAACCCATGTCCCCATCTTCTCCTCCCTCCCCAAGAAAAAAGCAAGCCCTCTTAAGAATGTCCTGTCAACTCCAGATTAAAAAACCCCAACGCCCATTGAGGGCCCGTCCTGTCCACCAGCCCTTCCCAGCCGGCCAGCACTCGGGGGTGGAGGCCTGTCCCCCCCGCCTCGTGTCCTGCCCCTGCCTCTTCTAACCTCCTAGTTAGGAAATCCAAAGTCACTTCGTCAAGAACACCTCAGACACAGAGTCACGGGACTCACTTGCTCCTTTCTAAGTGAGTGTGAGAGCTGCCAGGCGACCCCCAGGGAAGCCCCGAAAGATGGGAAAAGCAGTCACCCAGGCCTCCACCAAAGCTGGGGCCTGGCCCGGCCCCGCCTGGGCGCATGGCCTTGGGCTTGTCGTCCAGATGATTTGGACCCCTGAGTGTGCCTTGCCCAGAGTTGCTGGCCTTGTCCCATTGTGCTGGGGCCCGTCAGGGACACGTGTGTGGTCATCCATCCGAATACGTCCTGCCCTGTTTAACTGAGATGGCCAGTGGGAAGCTGCTTTGAAAACACAGGGCAGAAGCTCGCTCCTGTAGTCACGGGACGGTGCTTTCCTGAGCTCCTGGAATCTCACTGGCTCCTGGCTCCAGCCCTGAACCCGGAGCCACAGCTGTTGTGCCCCCTCCTTCACCCCCAACATCCTCCTGGGAAGCTCAGCAGCCACAGAAAAAGGGGGCCACAAAGACAGCTTAAAACCTGGGCAAGCTGCACGCGGTACCACGTGCCAAGGCAGGCAGAAGCATCACAGGTAGCACTGGCAGCTTAGCGACAGTCTGTCCCCCCGAAAATGTGTTCAAATCTTTTTAAAGGCTGGGGATACCGCTCACTGTGAAGTGTCTGGGTTCAGTCCTCTCTACAAATGAAAACAAAACCTTGGCTACCCTTGCAGGTAGTGCTAGCCCGCGGGAAGCCCGGGCAGTCACACTGCTGCAGGCACAGCTCCCCGGGGGCTTGAGCAATTGCGGGGGGGCCCCAGCTGCAGCCAGTCCTATAACTGCTGGCCTTCAGCCTCCAGGCAGGCCCAGAGATTCCGGGGGCAGAATATTCCCATCAGCCCGTGTCCCGAAGCTGACCCGGCGCCGGGAGCCCAGTCCAGACCCTGGCCCTTTGTAACCTGTCGGGTCGTCCCCTCAACTCACAGATCTGCCTTGGTTAGTTCTGTTCCTTGTCTCCTGAATGCTGGGAAGCTTTACGGTGTGGGCAGATGCAGCCCACTGAGGCGGCCTTTCCCAGGGGCCCGTGGCCGTGTGACCCCACCTCACCACCCAAGCCCTGGCCTTGTGGACGTGTCCTCAGGTGTCCCCTCCAAGCCGGGGCAGGGGCAGGTCCTACAGTGCCTTCCCCGAGGGTCCCCTGGCCAGCTCTCCGGTTCCTGCTGTGACCCCGGGCGCGGGTGGTGCTGACCGAGGCCCCAGCCCTTCTCATGCGCGCCCGCCCGTGGAGGGAGAGGGGCTCTGCGCAGGAACACTGAGCTGGGTCCGCGTCGCCTGCTGCCTGCCTCCTCCCTGTGCCCTGCTCGGCCCTCTGGGGGTGGGGGCGGGCACGCGGGACTCTTAGATTACACCTCCGGCTGGGAGGGTGGCCGTGGATTGGGCAAACCGAGAGCGGGGAGAGAGGGTGCCTCACCCCAGAACCACCCCAGCCATTTTCTAAAACAGCCCTGTAGTGCAGCCGGCTGCCAAGGCGCCGTCGGGCCGGTTCCTCCGGGCCGTGCTGGTGGCCTCGTGGTGGGGGTGAGGGGGGAGAGGTCAGGCGGCACAGGCCGGGACCGGAAACGCTGGGGAGGGGCTCCAGCCCGCCTCCCGCCAGGTGTAATCTAAGCTCGCTCTCCCTCCCGGACCCTCCCGGCATCTGTCCCCTCCCGGCATCTGTCCCCCTGCCCGTGCCGCTGGCATCCGTGTCCATTTTGGAGTCCGAGAAGCATCTCGAGGCCTCTCTCACCCCAAAATGGCCCGCACAGTTCCCCGAACCCCTGGAACTGCGGCTTGCTGAATCTCTTGAGCTGTCTGACACTGTTGGGGTCCCCCCACCTGATGCTTCAATCAGATCACCTCACTTTTGAGTTTTCTGCCCTGCCCCCACCTTCCCCTCACTCTGCTCCCCTCCCCCATGCCACCCTGAACCCCAGTTTTGATTTTTTTTGTGTTTTGGGTTTTTGTTTTGTTTTGTTTCGTTTTGTTTTGTTTTTTGCGTTTCTGCCTCTTCCTGCCTGGGGGAGGGGCCGTCTCCTGGTTGCTTTGATGGTTTTTGAGTTGTTTTTCCATGCGAATTGGGTTTGAAGCGACCACCCCTCCAGCCGCCACCGCCCCCACACCCCCACTCCCACTGCCCCACCCCACCCCTTCGCCCACGCGGGTCCCCCGCTGGGACCCTCCCCGGCCACTCGGTGACGAGAAGAGCTGGGGACCAGAGCCAGCTGGAGCGTGCTGACCACAAGGCTGGTGTCGTCCCTTATAACCCGCCTGGACCCTCTATTCAGGTCGGTAATCGGGGGCGGGGGTTCCGCGGGGCCGCTCCGTCCCGTCGGCCCGTGCTCACCCGCACTCTCACCCGCACCTCAAAGCTTGCAGCCAGGGGTGGAAGAGACGACGTGGGCGGGAACCAGCACCAAACCAGGCAGAACACAGTATCGGCCGTCCCGGTCCCCATGTCCCGGCTGGGAGATGCCCAGGGCCTGCTGCACCCCACGGTCCTGGGGGACACAGATGCCTTAAATTCCTGGCAGACCAGCCCTTCATCTGCCCCCCAACATCCTCAAATGCCAGCCCGCTGGGGGACGAAGCAGGAGACTTAAATGGGTTGGGAGTCCCAAGAGCCTGTGTGAGCATCACCCAGGGCGCCGGCCATGGTGGGGACCCGGCAAACGTCCCTCACACTGAACTGACCCAGAGCTGGCCACCCCAGACATGGGCCCAGCTCAAGCCCAAGGTCCACAGCCCCGAGTCCGCTTCTGGAAGTGGGGCACAGCAGATGTGAGTGGGGCTTTGGTGACCCCCAGATCCTAAGGCCAGGCTCGCTCCCTGCCCTACCTGGACAGGCCCTTGAGGATCGGGCAGCTTACCATGGCTTCTGATGTTTATCTTGAGCACTGCTGGACGGTACCCACCCAGCACTGCACACGGGGGACCAGTGCTTTTGTCCTCCCTGAGGCCCCCCGGGGTTTAGAAGTAGCCCAGACAAGGGGAAGCTGGCGGCCAGCACTCTGTCTGCTGAGCCTGGAGAGGAGGCCTTGGTGTGAAGGGCAGGGGCCAGGCGGCCTGCCTCCCAGGCCCATCCCCTCCCCGACCCTCTGCCTCCCCCTCACCTGCACACTGGGCACGAGGACATCGGGAGGGGACAGCCAGACAGCGCCCGGCAGGGGTTTCCTGCTGCTGGCTTTGAGAAGCTCCGTGAGCCTCGGGCTGGTTGCCCCACCCAGGAGCCCCGAGGGTCCCCCATCTACCCGCCTGGCCTGGCCCAGCACCTGCTGCCTGTGGGGCAGTCCCTGTCGCCCCGTCCTGCTGATGAGGCCGAGGCTGGCGTGGGGCTGCCCGGGTCCCCCAGGCCCACCAGGAGGAGGCTGGAGCCCGTCCGCTGCCGGGTTCCTGCGCAGCTCCCACCTGTGGTCACCCGGGACCTGGCCGCGGGCTCTGGGCGGCGGGAGGCCAGACCCTGTGTTCTGCCGGGCGGGCGTCTCCCGGGAAGCCCCTGGCCCTCCTTCACCCAGTTCCCAGCCCCTCCCCATTCCATGGTTACTTTTTTTTTTTTTTAATTCTTGCTTTTGGGGTTGTGTTTCTTTTCAAAGGGGTGTTTATGGGTTTTTTTCTTTTTTTCCTTTTTGGCTTTGGCTTTGTTTTCCTTTTCCATTCGTTTCTCCCCCCCCTCCCCATTTTGTTTCGGATGTCGGTGCGTTTCTGTCCTGGATTAATTAGCTGCCCCGCACTCGTCTCCCCACCGTGTGCCGTCTCCATGACGACAAGGCCGGCATCCCGGGCGTCTCCTGCCCCGGCCTCCCTCTGGGCACCTGCCGCCGACTGGGGCTCCCCACCCCGCCCTGCCCCGTGTTCCCCCCTCACCCCGCTACCATCTCCCCTCCGTCGTCTGTCCTTCCATCCGTCCATCCACCCGAGCACCTGCATGGCCCCTCTGCCCCCCCATCCTGTCTCCACCGCGACTCTGGACGTTTCGTGGGCTTCGTTTTCCGGAGGGCTGCCAGCTCCCCATCCCGCCGCCACCGCAGGCCGGGCTCCCGCCTGACTCCCGCCTCAGTTCTGGACGGGGTCGAGGTTCCCAGCCAGAGACGAGAGCCGGCCCAGGGAGGGGTCAGGGCTGCCCTGTGTCCTCCTCGGTGGGGCGGGGACCCCCTGGCGCCACACACCCAGGTCAGGGGCCCCATGAGGTCAGCGGGTGCTGCCTCAACCTCCCCACCAGGCTGACCCCAGTCCGCCCTGGTGGGACCTGGCCGTGCCCACCTCTGCCTCACCCCAAACCCGGAGCGCCCTCCGGAAACAGAGCCCCGAAACACGTCCTGCCGCCTTCGTCACCATCAGTGTCACCGTGAGCCCGGAGAGAAGGCGGCCCTGCTCCTCGCTGAGCCGCGCACAGCCCCGTCCAGCCCTCCCAGCGCAGCTGTCCGTCCGTCCCTGGCCACGTCCTTACCCCGTGGTCCCCCCGCTCCGCCCCCCAGGGCCGCGATGTGACAATGTGAGCCGCATTGGGTCACATCGCCAGCACCCGGCGCCCACTGGAGGGGCCCGGCCTGGCCCTCCCCGCGCCCTCCTCTCCACGCATCTCCGCGCTCTGCCCCCCCATGGACCCCGAATCCAGGCCCCTCCGCACCCCTCTCCGTGCCCTCTCTCGGCCCCCTCTCTCTCTCCTGCCTTCTCTCTTTCTCAATCTATTTTGCATGATGTTTGTGGATTTTGAGAGCTGCATTTATCGACCAAAACTTGTCAGATCCGACAGAAGCTTTTAGAAGGGTTTCTACACCCAAAACCACAAAAATTTCATTAGAGTTTTCTCATCTTTTCCTTGGGAAGGGCGGTGAGAAACGGGAGACCCCGAGAGCCCCTGAGGGCACGCGTGGCCGGCTCCCAGCCCCCCAGCTCCTCCTCCAGGCCCGAGCGCCCCCCCTCGCACCCCGAACCTCCCAGCGCCCTCAGAGCCGCCCGGCCCCTGCGAGCGTTGGGGGGCGCTGCCCAGCCACGTCCACCAGCAAAGATGAGAAACCGCTGATAAATTTTTGTGTCCACGTCTGTGCTGTGACCAGGGTCCCTCTGGTCTCCGGAGCCCAGTGCTGTGGGACAGTGCTTTGTGTCTGACTATATCGGTATCTCTCTCTCTTGTTTGTGAAGTACCTTCCTTTGAAGTTTTGGTTTCTTTGTGTTGGAATTTGGTTTTTCCATTTGAATTTGTTTGCTTCTTTTCGTTTGGGGGGAAAATGAATGGGGTGGGGGAAGCAGCTGCCGTTTATATTTAAATGGTCTCCCCTTTGTTTTTTTTTGTTGTTTTTTTCCTTTGTGTCTTTCCTCCGTCCTTCCTCCCGCCGGCCCCACCGCCCCCCCCAGTCCGCCGCGTGGCCCCCCGCTTCTCCATCCTCCCCATGAGCCACGAGATCATGCCGGGGGGCAACGTGAACATCACCTGCGTGGCGGTGGGCTCACCCATGCCCTATGTCAAGTGGATGCAGGGCGCCGAGGACCTGACGCCCGAGGACGACATGCCCGTGGGCCGCAACGTGCTGGAGCTCACGGACGTCAAGGACTCGGCCAACTACACGTGTGTGGCCATGTCCAGCCTGGGCGTCATTGAGGCTGTGGCCCAGATCACCGTGAAGTGTGAGTGGGGGTGGGCCGGGCACGCACCCTCATCCCAGCAGCACTGGGGAGGCTGAGGCAGGAGGATGGCGCATCTCAGCCCAGCTTGGGCAACATAGCGAGGCCCCGTTCCAAATGAAGATTTTAAAAGGGGCTAGGGACGTAGCTCAGTGCAGAGGCCCTGGTTCAGTCCCACTCTGGCTATCCACAAGAAGACAGTGAGGGGACATTAGGCCCAGTAGACATTGAAGCCCAGAGAAGGGTTGGGGAGCTCGATGTCACACAGTGCCCCAGCGTGTGACCCCGCCTCCCGCCCACAGCGCTCCCCAAGGCCCCCGGGACGCCCGTGGTGACCGAGAACACGGCCACCAGCATCACCATCACGTGGGACTCCGGCAACCCGGACCCCGTGTCCTACTACGTCATCGAGTACAAGTCCAAGAGCCAGGACGGACCCTACCAGATCAAGGAGGACATAACCACCACGCGCTACAGCATCGGCGGCCTCAGCCCCAACTCCGAGTACGAGATCTGGGTGTCGGCCGTGAACTCCATCGGCCAGGGGCCCCCCAGCGAGTCGGTGGTGACGCGCACCGGCGAGCAGGCACCGGCCAGCGCTCCGCGCAACGTGCAGGCCCGCATGCTCAGCGCCTCCACCATGATCGTGCAGTGGGAGGAGCCCGTGGAGCCCAACGGGCTGATCCGCGGCTACCGCGTGTACTACACCATGGAGCCCGAGCACCCCGTGGGCAACTGGCAGAAGCACAATGTGGACGACAGCCTGCTGACCACCGTGGGCAGCCTGCTGGAGGACGAGACCTACACCGTGCGGGTGCTGGCCTTCACGTCCGTGGGTGACGGGCCGCTGTCGGACCCCATCCAGGTCAAGACGCAGCAGGGAGGTGAGGCCGCCACGGCCGGCCGTGGCACGGAGCTCGCACGAGTGCTCCTGGGAGGCTGAGGCAGGAGGGTCTCCAGTTCCAGCCTGGCCTGAGCAACCTTGAGACCTAGGGAGACCCTGTGCCGAAATTAAAAAAAAAAAAGGGGCTGCGGATGGGGCTCAGAGTGAAGGCCCTGGGTTTAACCCTTCGTGCCACAGAGAGGAAAATTCAGACAAGCGTCACAAAGCAAGCAGCGACCGAGAAGGTCCGAGTGGCTGGATTCCCTCGGGCCGTGAGCTGCTGTGGGAGGTCCCGGTGGCCATCAGATGAGGGCATCACGTCTGCTGGCCTCACCCTGCCCTTTAACCTCCGGGACCCACAGTTGGCGTCTGGGTTGGTGACCCCCCAGTACGCCAATGCTTGAGTAAAGCTGCAGCCCTAGGGGTCAAAAGACGCGCGGGCGGGCTGTGTGGGGTTCCCGACCTCCTGCTTTGGGGTTCTCACTTTTACAGCCCTAAGATCTAGGCATGCAGGCACCTTCGTGACCGGACTGGAAACCCGACCTCCGCCGGGCGATGCGGACCGGGGATCCGTGTCTGGACACAGGCCCCCCGTCTCCCTCCCGCAGTGCCCGGCCAGCCCATGAACCTGCGGGCGGAGGCCAAGTCTGAGACCAGCATCGGGCTGTCCTGGAGCCCCCCGCGGCAGGAGAGCATCATCAAGTACGAGCTGCTCTTCCGTGAGGGCGACCGTGGCCGCGAGGTACGTACGGGTGGCAGAGGCCGGGAGGCCCGGGCCCGGACCCCTGGGCGTCCCCCCGGCCGACGCCCTCTCGGCCCACTGGCTGCTGGCTGCACCCGCCGCAGTGCCCCTAACCGTGTTTCTGTCTGTGTCTCTCTGTGCACGTCCCTTTCCTCTCTGTGTCTCTGTCCCTTTCCCTCCCCGCCCTCCTGTGTCTGGACTCCTGCTCCTTCTCTGTTTGCTGTCTCTGTCCGCCTGGATCTCGGACTCTGTCGCTCTGGCTCTGGTCCGTGTCTGCGTCCCCGTCACACCGCAGGTGGGCAGGACCTTCGATCCTGCAACAGCCTTCGTGGTGGACGACCTCAAGCCCAACACGGAGTACGCCTTCCGCCTGGCGGCGCGCTCCCCGCAGGGCCTGGGCGCCTTCACCGCGCCCGTAAGACAGCGCACGCTGCCGTCCAGTAGGTGTCTCGCGCCTGCGCTGGGGGGCGGGGGGCAGCAGGCCACTCTGCCCAGCCTCGGCCTTGGCCGTGCCTCGGTTTCCCCGCCAAGGGGTCCTCTGTGCGTCTGCATCTCCATGCCCCAGCCCGGCTCCAGGGACTGTCTGTTGATGGCCAGGAGGTGCCCATTTTTGTGGGTGTCTCTGGGCGCCACAGAGGACAGTGGGCCACTTCCTGGCCAGAACCATGACACTCGAGGCCCCGGGGATGGGGAGGAGCGGGGACCAGCGCTGATGCTGGGTGGGGCAGGTGCGGGCCCCGCCTCGGGGCTCTCTGACCCCTGGAGGCTCTGCTGTGCCCGCCCGGCCACCCTGTCACTTAGCTGCCGGCTCGGGCCACTCTGTGGCCTCTGCCGCCGCCACCCTTGCTGCTGGCTCCAAGCTCGGGTCACAGGAACCCCTCTGCTGTCCCCTGCTCCCCTTTCCGTCACCCAGCCCCGCGTGGCCCTGAACCTCCCCTCCACCCCAGTCAGTCACCTCGAGGCCGCCCCGGCATCGTTCTGGAAGCATCCGCAGTGATCAGGCCTCCAGGCCCAGGTCTCCGCACTGGCCGGTGGTCTTGGGCCGTGGAGGGTGCTGCCCTGGCCAAGCCGAGAGGCCACCGAGAGGTGGACCCCATTGGCCCCGGCCCATTCCCTGCCTCCCAACCCCCAAGCCGAGCCAGCGTCCCCAGCTCGGGTGTCTGGGCGCACAGGGCTGTGGGCAGTGAGGGTGGCCTGGGGCCTGAGCGGCCACCCGAGGGGGAGGCGGAGGCCAAGGTGAGTATGAGCCGTTCTCCAGCGACTTCACAAACACGGCCCACCCTGTGTCCCTGGTCCCTGCACCCCGCTGCCCCGGGCCACAGGTGGACGCAGTGCCGTCCCCAGGGTCCCCACATAGTCACAGCCATCCCTGCCCTTCCCAAGACCTCACTCAGGTTGGGCCGGATTGTGAAGCTCGCGACCCCCAAGGTCATCCAGAAAGCGGCCCAGCCACGGGCACCTCGGGGCGGCCCAGGCCAGGGATGATGGGGTGAGGGACGCCCCGCTTGGCGTCCCGAGGCAGGGTGGGCCCGCAGACCCCGCAGCAGAGACAAGGGCCAGCGTGTCTTCTCCCCGGGCCTCGGCCCTTAGTCTGACACAGGGTAGGTGGAGGCAGACGGCTCACGGGGGCTCCCCACGCCATCGGGGCCAGAGACCCCGAGAGTTCGCTCGCGCCCCTACGTAGCTCAGTCCACCGCCGCTGCCCCTCTCGTAAGAAAGTCTGTAAGTTAGCAGTGGAAGCGAAGGTAGGTAACGGACTGGGAGATTTCCGGACGGCGTCTTTCTTTCTTTATTATGGTTTTTCCCATCATCACCGCCATCACCACTGTCTCTGATTTTGTTACTGTTTTAGTTTTGTTTCTCCTTCCCCTCTCTCAGCACATCCATCCTTCTGGCACATTCCCTGGTTGGTTTTTCCGCTCCTGCCTGATTTCCCACTGGGCACTTTTGGTTGGGTGGCTGGTCAAGAAAGGGGGAGCCCCTGACCCAATGCCCCACGCTCGTTGTAGCTGAAGTGAGCCATGGTGGTGGCCGGGAATTCCCAGGGTCTCTGAGGACAGGCGCCAGGTGTCTCTGGCCCCGGAGCCCAGTGCTCAGTAATCACTCAGTAAACATGGGCTGTCAGCCCAGCACTCTGGGAGGCTGAGGCAGGAGGAGGCAAGACCAGCCTGGACAATTTACAGAGCCCCTACCTCAGAACAAAAAGTAAAAGGGCCCGGAGGGGGCTCAGTGCAAAGGTGCTGGGTCCAATCTCCAGCACCCCACCCCAAAACCAGGGGGAGGGGGGCAGCACCGAGCAGACAGACCAGGGACAGCAGAGAGCCCAACACTGGGCTTCGGTCTGCCCAGGCTTCCCCACCTGTCACACGGGGTGGGGCTAAAACAGGACGATGCGTAGAAAGCTCTCGGGGGGCACTGCACCCCGACACAGCCAGGGAGACCTTGAATCCGTGAAGGGCACCGTGAGAGAGTGGGCACCGGGTCCCCAGGGCCAGCACTGGCCGCATGTCAGTGCCCAGTACACAGGAGATCGCCAGCTGATGGCCCACAAAGCCCTCAGCATACTGTGCAGCACACAGGAGGGGCAGTGTGGGCTGCAGGACGGAGCGTGCAGCGCAGTCAGCTCTCAGTAAATAGGGGCTGCTGGCCGTCGGCAGAGAGCCGGACCTGGGGCCGGGCACAGCAGGTTCCAGAAACATGGGTGCCGCTGTTTTGCTGTGCGAACCCGGGTACAATCCGGGTGTGCAGCAAGCACCTAACAGTGACACGGACAATGGAGGTGCCGGCCTGGGGTGAGGTACACAGCAGGTGCTCAGGCAGGCTCTGCATCTGGAAGGGCCTGCGTGTGCAGCGTGCACAGCTCCTGCTCCAAGGGTGCGCTTACTACCTGCAGAGCCCTCAGTGTGCACACAGTAGGTACCTGCTCCACAAGTGCAGACCATTGGCCTTTCTAGGAAGGTTCCTTGGCACGGTGCCTGGCCTGGGCTGTTACTATTGTCCCGTAAAGCTCCAGGCATGGCACTGGGCACATGTTGGGTGCTCCGGACGTGGAAGTCACTTGTGCTTTTGTATTAAAGCCCGTGGCACCACTGATGACTGGCACATGGTAGATGCTTCCTGTGGGGAATATTCCCGTCCTTGCTAAGAGCTCCTTGTGCAGTGCCTGGCACCATTGGTGCTATATAAATGGCAGCTGCTGTCTGTCTGAGAGAGTGCTTCCCATGCCAGGCCCATAGTAGGTGCTCAATAAACGAGAAGTGCCGTGGCTCAGTAATGGCTGCGGTGCGTGGGGGGCTCGGAGCAGCAGTGCTGACTCCCGCCCACAGCAGGAGCCAACGTGCAGCCCAGCTGGGCCGAGGGACAAGCCCTTGACGTGCTGGCACTCAGTAGGTGCTCACGAAATGGCTCTGTTTGCTGTGAAGCCCTTGGCATGAGGCCGGGCACGCAGCAGGTGCTCAGTCGTGGGGCTTTCTTGGCTGGCCCATTGGCACACGTTCCCAGGCCACACGAGGTGCCAGGAAAGAAGCTTTTCCATTCTCCCTGTGAAGCCCGTGGTGCGTGCACAGTGCGCAGCACACGGTGGGCCTCAGTGGGTTACTCAGTGCAGCCCTCGGCTGGGGTGAGCACGCGGTGGGCCTTGGCACGGCGCGTGGTGCGCAGCAGGCACCCGGCATGTGGAGGCGTTCATGCTCCCCAGAGCCCTTAAAGAGTGGCGAGCACTGAGTGGGTGCTCAGTAGACAGGCGCCATTGCTGTTCCCCGTGGGAGCTGACGGCTGGCACATAGTAGGTGCCACACAGGTGGCCTCTTCCTGTTCTTGACGTGGCAACTGGCATGTAACAGCCATTCAGGAAACGGATGCCTCTGTGTATTTTGTGCAGCCCTCGGCAAGTGCCTGGCACATAGTAGGTGTCCCCTAAAGGGGTGCATTCGCGGGTAGCTCCGAGGCTCCTGGCAGATGGGGCCGGCACCGTAGGCGCCCGACAGGCGGGGCTGCCGCTACTGTTCCCGCAGCACTCGGCGCCCCCCACACGGCCGGCAGCAGTAGGGAGCGAGCTCTCAGTCTGTGAGTCCGCATGGACGCTGGGACGAGGCTCTGCGAGGCCTGCTGTGCACCGGGGCCCGCCCCGCCCGGCAGGGAGGGAAAGCGCAGGTTCTTGGCCAGCCCCCCACCCCCCCCCCCCGCCCGTCTCACTTTTGGTTGTTGTGCACCCCAACCCCCGCTTCTTTTGGGTTCGAATTCTCTTTGGTTTGGTTCTGTTTTGTTTGTTATCATCTTCTTTTTTATTTTCTCTTCCCATCTTTTGTTCCCCCACCCCCTCTCCCTGCCCATCCCACCTCCCCCCCCACGTTCTCCCCTCCAATAGAACCGTCAGCCCCCCCTCAAGACGTTAAATGTACCAGCATGCGCTCCACGGCCATTCTGGTAAGTTGGCGCCCGCCGCCGCCGGACACGCACAACGGGGCCCTAGTGGGCTACAGCGTCCGCTACCGACCGCTGGGCTCGGACGACCCGGAACCCAGGGAGGTGAATGGCATCCCCCCGACCACCACCCAGATCCTCCTGGAAGCCCTGGAGAAGTGGACTGAATACCGTATCACTGCCGTCGCTCACACAGAGGTGGGGCCAGGGCCCGAGAGCTCGCCCGTGGTCATCCGCACCGAGGAGGACGGTAAGCACCGCCCGCCCAGCCCAGGGACCCCGCAAGACCTCAGCCCGCCTTCCACCTGGAAAACACCGGGCTGGAGGCCACAAGGCGGGACCCGCCATCGTCCCAAAACAGTGCCTGCTGGGCTCTTTGAACTTGGAATTGATGGTTTAGACCTGGGCACTCCTGTGTCTCCAGGCCCCAGAGCCTTGTGCCTGGGGCCTCAGCTGGCCACCTCCTGTGTTGGTCCAGCCATGGTAACCATAGAAACGGGATGCAGGCAGATACCAGGTTCTCCCATCCTTGGACGCAGCAGCCTGCACTTTAGACTCTTGGGATAACGCAGGGTGTGCGGCCCCAGGGTCTGAGACGCCCCGCCCGGAAGAGGTGGACTGGAGGTGCGAGACCACCTGCTTTCTGGGGAGGGGAGGGCATGGATTGCCGCGGTGTCCCCGGCCGTGCTGGCCAGTTAACTGCATGGTAGGAAGTTGGTGAGCCGAGGTAGTGACCTGGTGTGGAGTCCTGTGGTAGGAACTCGGCTCACGGGAAGAAACGGCCCCTTTCCGGCCACAGCCCAGGGGACAGGGCGGTTCTGATCCCAGAGCAGGTGGAAAAAAGCCCCCGAGCAGGGTGGGCCACCTGCGTGGCAGGGAGAGCCCTTAGGAGCAGGTGGCCGCTGCCTAGTCCAAGCCCCAGCTTGACTGGGGTCAGCTCCCTGGACCTCAGTTTCCCCGCAGGTGAGCAGGCAAGGGAAGCTCCAAGCGCAGGGTGTGGCTGGCTGCAGGCCCCTCCCGGGTGGGGGTCCGCGGGGGGCTCCCGGTAACCGCCCCGCCACCCCCTCCTGCCCACCAGTGCCCAGCGCGCCGCCGCGGAAGGTGGAGGCGGAGGCGCTCAACGCCACGGCCATCCGCGTGCTGTGGCGCTCGCCCGCGCCCGGCCGGCACCACGGTCAGATCCGCGGCTACCAGGTCCACTACGTGCGCATGGAGGGCGCCGAGGCCCGCGGGCCGCCGCGCATCAAGGATGTGATGCTGGCCGACGCCCAGGTGGGCGGGGCAGGGTGGGGGCGGGGCTCCGGGTGGGCGTGGTTACCGGGTGGGCGTGGCTGCCGGGCGGGGCCGGCCTGCACCGCCCGCACCTGCCCTGCCGCCCCAGCCGCGCTCACCTCCCTCCTCTCTCCCCGCCGCCTCCCGCGCAGTGGGAGATGGACGACACTGCAGAATATGTGAGTAGCGCCCGCGCCGGGCTCCTGGTGCTGTCCGCGGGCCGCGCTGTGGTGTGACCTCCGCACGCCCCTTGCAGAGGGTCTCCGCCCGCGCGCCCTTCCCGGTGCGCGGCCGGGCTGCTCCCCGAGTTCCGGCCCTTTAGAGATGGGGTCCCCGGTGGAGAAGCTGGCCCTGCAGCCCCGCCCCGTGCGCTCTCCAAGTCCCTGAGCGGCTCGGGCAGAGCAGGGTCACCGCCTACGCGGCCAGGTCCGCTGCCCGCGGCGGGGCTTCCTCCCCAGGAGGCCCCGAGGATGCCGGGTCCAGGGCGAAGGCCCACCTGCGCGCTCGGCACCAGCCCCAGAGCCGGGAGGAGCGATGCAGGGTCGGGTGGAGACCCTCTGCTCCTGCACCCCGCCCCGCCCCCCCCTGTGCCCGACCCTGCCCCAGCTCCCGGCATGCCGTGCGTGTGCATGGTCGTAGACTGGGGAGGCGGGGCGCTGTGTGTGCAGGGCCAGGTCACCCCGGCGCTTACTGAGCACCAGCTGTATACGAGACCTTACGCTGGGTGCCAAGGAGGGCCAGATGACAATGGCTGACCTCCATCCTGGGGTCAGCGGTGCCGGAGGGGACGCAGATACTTAGATGGTCACAGCCGTAGGGGTAGGATGGGGCTGTGGTGCAGGCGTTTAAAAGTCTGCTCTGCGGGCAGTGTACGCTGTCATGTCGTCCCAGCACTCTGGGAAGCTCAGGCAGGAGAATCCCAAATTCGCACCCAGCCTGGGAGACATAGTGACTTAGTGAGACCCCGTTTCAAAACATGAAAAGGAGCTGGGGATTAGCTCAGCGGCATAAGCGCCTGCCTTGCAAGCAGGCAGTCCTGAGTTCGATCCCTGGTACCGATAAAAAGGAAAAAGACCGGAAAAAAAAAAAAAAAAAAAAAAACGTAAAGGGCAGGGGATGGAGTTCAGTGCAAAGGGCCTGGGTTTGATTGCCAGTGCTGAAAAATTAAAGGAAAGAAAAGAAACGAAAAAAACCCAGCTTTCTGGGCAGGGAGGGTCTCTTGCAGCCCCGCCCCACTTCTAGTGTGCGCTCTCCCTGTGATCTGTGCTGTCCGCAGCTCAGTTCTGTCCCTGTTGCCAGCCCACAGAGCCAGCAGGGAGAAAGCCCTTGGGGAATTGAGTACAGTGAAATCAGTACAAAGGGGGATTTAAATATCTGCAGCCTCCAACCTAAGTTGTTACAGTTGAATTTTTAGTGAGCGCTGTTTCCTGCTGGCTTGCAAAACCCCCGAAAATGCAGCCGGTGGCCCCTGAGCTGGGCGAATAGCATCTGCGGCACACCAAAGGGTAGAAGCAGAGGGCACAGCCATGCAAAGGCCCTGGGGCAGATAGAGCCCAGCGTAGTGCAGGAGCAAGCAGGCCGTGTGGCCGGAGCAGAGGGAGTGAGAGGTAGAGAGAGAGGGGCGGGGCGGCCACCTCACAGGCCCGGTGGGAGCCCTGGAGGGCGGAGGGGGAGGGACTGGGCGTGGTGTTCACGGCGCCCCCTGGTGGCCTCGGGGAGGACAGCCTGGGGCGCCCACCAGTGGCATTGGTGCGGGCTGCATGCGCCCGCCAGCATGGTGTGCACCGCGGTTTTGCATGGACTCGTGTGCTGGATCCTGTGCCCTCCCCGCGTGACCTTCTGGGGAAAGTGTGGGCAGGACCCGTCCCGCCCCCACTGACCACACCCTGGCCCACAGGAAATGGTCATCACAAACCTCGAGCCCGAGACCGCGTACTCCATCACAGTAGCTGCCTATACCATGAAAGGCGATGGTGCTCGCAGCAAACCCAAGGTGGTGGTGACCAAGGGAGCAGGTACGAAGCTGCACACCGCCTGCAGCTGCTTTGGCCCCATGAGGACCAGAGGTCCTTCCAGAGTCCTCAGGGCCAGCTGTGTGGGGAAACGGCAGGTCGGGCTGGGCACCAGTGACACCGCAGGTCTCAGGGCTGCCTACAAGGGCCCAGCATGCCCCCCCCCCCCGCATCCTTTATCTCCCCATCTTTCCCTCCTTAGCCTCCCCCAGATACGTCCTTCTAACACGGCCCTTTGTGGGCCTCAGCAGGGCTGTCCCTCTGCCAGGGCCCCTCCTGCCCCCTGCACCTTCCCCATCAGGCCTGTGTCTCAGCGAGATGCCGTCACAGAGCCATGCCTTGTAGACGCACCCCTGCCCCAGGCGGTCCCCACAGCCTGGGAGCCACAGAGCAGGGACAGTTTGGGGCACCCCTGTGTCCCCCCACCTGGGATGGATCAGAAGCCAGGAGCCACTTAAACAGACAGGGAAGCAAATGCCACCCCTTCCCTGGGCCTACGCACGCCTGGTGTGGTCCCACCCCCGGGACGTGGTCCCGGCTGCCCCTCTCTGCCTGGAACACCTGCCCCAGCTTCCCCTGCAGGTCCTTTGACCCCATGTTCAGAAAGTGTGACCCCCACTAGGGAGCTCAAGGCCCGCCTGGGCCACCCAGAAAGACCGCGTCTTCAGGGCTGGGGGAGCACCTGCCTGGGCTCCATCCCCAGTGCTGGCTTCCGGTCCCCATCTGGGGTGCCTCCTCGGGCAGCTGAGGCAGGAGAATTTCCCGAGCCCAGCCCCAGGAACTGGCACAACCGTATCTATAAAAGAAAAAAGGGGGCCCGGGGTGGCTGCCACCCCTGTCCCTGACCCTGTCCCTGTCCCTCAGTGCTGGGCCGCCCCACCCTCACGGTGCAGCAGACCCCGGAGGGCAGCCTCCTGGCACGCTGGGAGCCCCCGGTCGGCGTCCCCGCCGAGGACCAAGTGCTGGGCTACCGCCTGCAGTTCGGCCGGGAGGACAGTGCCCCACTGGCCACACTGGAGTTCCCGGCCTCCGAGGACCACTACATGGCGGCGGGCGTGCACAAGGGGGCCACCTACGTGTTCCGGCTGGCAGCGCGCAGCCGTGGCGGCCTGGGCGAGGAGGCGGCTGAGGTCCTGAGCATCCCCGAGGACGCGCCCCGCGGCCACCCGCAGATCCTGGAGGCAGCTGGCAACGCCTCAGCCGGCACTGTCCTGCTCCGCTGGCTGCCACCCGTGCCCGCCGAGCGCAACGGGGCCATCGTCAAGTACACGGTGGCCGTGCGGGAGGCCGGCGCCCCAGGGCCCCCCCGAGAGACAGAGCTGCCCGCGGCGGCCGAGCCCGGGGCCGAGAACACGCTCACCCTGCGGGGCCTCAAGCCCGACACGGCCTATGACCTGCAAGTGCGAGCCCACACGCGCCGCGGCCCCGGCCCCTACAGCCCCCCTGTCCGCTACCGCACGTTCCTGCGGGACCAAGGTAGGCGCGGCGCCCCCGCCGGGCCCCCAGCCGGACCCCACCCCAGTCCCCCCTTCCCCCCGCCAGGTAAGTGTCGCTTTTTGCTTCCGGCGGGCACTCAAGGCAGAGTCCGGACCCCGAGGCTCCCTGCGGCATTGGCAAAGGTGGGACCTGCCTGGTGGTGGCACCGCCGCCCCACCGCCACCATCTCCCCCTCCTCCTCCTCCTCTCCCTCCTCCTGCTCCTCCTCTGCAGCCTGCGCCGTCTTCCACAGCAGGGACCCGGGCCAGGGCAGGCAGGGCCGGGCCAGGGCCAGGGCCAGGGCCAGGGCCAGGGCCAGGGCCGGCAGGAAGGAGGCCATGGGCACAGCCGTGACAGGGAGCGTCTGGGCCGCCCCGCGCCGCGGACACCCTCACCCCGTGCTCACGGGCCCCCTCCTGTGCTCTCTCCCTGCCCCCGCTCGCCCGGATGCTGCCCCCAGTCTCCCCCAAGAACTTCAAGGTGAAGATGATCATGAAGACCTCGGTGCTGCTCAGCTGGGAATTTCCTGACAACTACAACTCGCCCACACCCTACAAGGTGCGGCCCCCTGCAGCGCTCAGCCGGGGCGGGGCGGGGCGAGGGGGGCACGGCACAGCGGGGACCAGGCCCTCAGCCTCCCGCCCCGGCCCCCCTGAGCTGGCCCGTCCACAGATCCAGTACAACGGGCTGACCCTGGACGTGGACGGCCGTACCACCAAGAAGCTCATCACGCACCTCAAGCCCCACACCTTCTACAACTTCGTGCTGACCAACCGCGGCAGCAGCCTGGGCGGCCTGCAGCAGACGGTCACCGCCTGGACGGCCTTCAACATGCTCAGCGGCAAGCCGGGCGTCTCCCCCAAGCCTGACCCTGATGGCTACATCTTTGTGTACCTGCCTGATGGCCAGAGCCCCGTGCCTGTGCAGTACGCTCACCCCGCTTCCCTGGGTCCCCGGGAGAGGGGAGACAGAACTGGGGAGTCCCTGGCAGGGCAGGGGGAACACCCTGGTTCAAACAGAACTAAGGATAACAAGGCAATGTGGGCATTGAAGCTGGGGTTTAAGGCATGTGTAGGAGTTTGTGAGCTAGAAGCCTTTTGGGCAGAAGATACAACGTGATCAAGCCTTGAATTAGGGTCTAGGGGTGACACGAGAACCCCCCACCCCGTGACCCCGCCGTCTGCTAACAGGAACTATTTCATCGTGATGGTGCCGCTGCGCAAGTCTCGCGGAGGCCAGTTCCTCACCCCGCTGGGCAGCCCGGAGGACATGGATCTGGAGGAGGTGAGGCCGCCCTGCCAGACCCGCGGCCCACGTGCTCCAGCCGAGCTCCGAGCCTCCTGCCCCTCTGTCCCCGCAGCTCATCCAGGACATCTCGAGGCTCCAGAGGAGGAGCCTGCGGCACTCGCGCCAGCTGGAGGTGCCCCGGCCCTACATCGCCGCCCGCTTCTCAGTCCTGCCCCAAGTCTTCCGTCCCGGGGACCAGAAGCAGTATGGTGGCTTTGACAACCGGGGCCTGGAGCCTGGCCACCGATACGTCCTTTTTGTGCTTGCTGTGCTGCAGAAGAGTGAACCCGTAAGTCCTGAGTGGCCCCTGCGTCCTGAAAGGAAGTTCTTGGAGGAAGGGATCTTACAGCTGGGGCTTTGAGGAACACGTAGGAGTTCAGCCAGAAAAGGCAGCCCAGGATTTGCATGTACAAAAAACGTCTGGAGAAGCAGAGCTTCAGAGCACTAGGACAGGGAAAGGAGTGCGGGGAGCAAAGCCTGGCCCCACCCGGGCCGTTGGGAGTCCTTGGGAACCCCCCAAGGACCGAGAGCGCGGGAGGCAGGCAGCGGCTGTTTGGGGCAGGCTCCACAGGACGGGGTCGCTCACGAGTCCCCTCTTCTGCGTCTGCAGACGTTCGCGGCCAGCCCCTTCTCGGACCCCTTCCAGCTGGACAACCCCGACCCCCAGCCCATCGTGGACGGCGAGGAGGGGCTCATCTGGGTGATCGGGCCGGTGCTGGCCGTGGTCTTCATCATCTGCATCGTCATCGCCATCCTGCTGTACAAGAAGTGAGCACTCAGCCCCAGCCTGGGTGTGGGGGGACGGGGAAGTGGGGGGACCCCCCGGGTCACCCACAGCATCGGGGCCAGAGCTGTCTGGGCCCTCGTCTGAGGCCCAGCCTGGGGGGGCAGGCCGGGGTCTACTTTCCTCGTAGCAGTGGGGCTCCTGCCCCCCGACACACGCCAGTGAGTGTCCAAGTGGGAAAGCGACCAGGCTCAGAGTGGTTAAGACAGGCAGCCCCGGCCGGAGCCGGGTGTGGCGGCTCACAGCCGTGACCCCAGCACTCGGGAGGCCGAGGAGGCGGGAGAAGCTGGTTTCACACAAGCCTGGGCGGCGTAGCCACTTAGCGAGGCCCAGTCCTAAAGTACAGAGGGCGGGAAGGGCCTCAGGCCCCCTTCAGTGCCCAGTCCTGCCGGAGAGGCCTGTGGGAGGAGAGCCGCCCGGTCCCAGCCGGGCTCACCAGCTGTTTCTCCCTTCTCCCCGCTCTGCACGGCTGCAGCAAGCCGGACAGGTAAGCCCGGCCCGGCCCGCGGCTGGGGGGCTGGCGGTGCCTGCCCCAGAACCCACCCCGCCGGCGTGCGCGTCCCCAGCCCTGCGTGCGTCTGCGTGGGTCTTGGTGCCCACGCGGGCCCTTAGCACAGCGTCCTCTTGCCCCCCACAAAGCAAACGCAAGGACTCCGAACCCCGCACCAAATGCCTGCTCAACAACGCCGACCTGGCCCCGCACCACCCCAAGGACCCCGTGGAAATGAGGCGCATTAACTTCCAGACGCCAGGTATGTGCTGCGCCCTGCAGGCAGGAGCCGGGACAGGGCCGGGTGGAGGTCGGGGACAGAGGCTGCCAGCTGCGCCCCTGAACTGGGGCCCTCCTGGCCCCCAGCCTCCTGCACTCTGGGATTCTAGGCACCCGCACGCAGCCAGTGAAGGCTTTTGTAAAGTTAGGTTTCAGGCCTGGGGCTGCCTTCAGGAGCCTAAAGGGCAGGCGGGCAGGCGGGCAGACAGACAGACAAAAAAAAGGTGTCGGGCGCCGTAGCTTCCGTAGAGCAGCGCTGTGTCCAGAGCCCTCTGCAAGGGCGCTGCCCCTCCCCACCGCCCGCATCTCCTGCCCTGGCCGCCCGGCCTCAGGGATGTGTCCCCCGGCCCCCCAGCTCCTCCTGCCCCTCAGTCGGGGAGTCACCTGCCGTCCCCGGTCCATGCACCCCCGATCTCGTCCGTCTGTCTCAGGGGGCTCTTGCTGGCTGCTTCTAACCAAGAATGGCGTCCGTGTAACGTGGTCACCCCTGTGCCTCCGCGGGGTCACATGGGCCCCCTCTCCAGCCCCAGGGGCTTGGGTCCCGGCCTCCACCGCCGGCCTCCGTGCCTCCCCGCGTCTTCTGTCCCTGTCCCTGCCCTGGCTGGGCCCACGTCTGTCTTTGTCAGCTTGCTGGGGAGAGCGTGTGTGTGTCTGTCCTAACCCGCCGTCTTCGGGGCTCACCTGTCCCCTCCTCTCATCCGTCTTTCTCCCGTCGCCATCTAACGAGGGCCCCGCCATTCGTGTTGAGCCGACAGCTGTGGTCCCGGGGTCTCCCCCACCCCGGCTGTGTCCTGTCCTCCTCCTCTGTGGCGTCTCCGGGCTCACTGTGTCACATCTAAATAGCTCATGTGTAACTGCTGGCCGCCTTCTCCTGGCCACCCGCACCGGGCCTCCTCCGCGCTCTGTCTCCATCCCGACGAGGCTCCCCGACCTGTGTTGGCCGCTGGCCGCTGGCCGCACAGCTCCCGCGAGGCCCAGGTGTCCTCGCCTGCCCCCGTCTCGCCCCACCTTCCCGGTCCGCTCCTGTGGCCTCCTCGGGGAGCCCAGCCCTGGCGGGCCGGGAGGGGCCGCACGCTGGACGCCCCACAGAGCCCAGCGCCGGCTCAGGCTTCGCCCTCCGTGCCTGTGGCCGCCAGGGTGGGGTGGCGGCCGGCGGGCGCTCACGTGTTATTGTTTGCTTCTCTGCAGACTCGGGCCTCAGCAGCCCCCTCAGGGAGCCGGGGTTTCACTCGGAAAGTTAGTTCCTGTGTCTGCTCTTGGCTCCCCCCACCGCCCGGTTCTGTCTCGGTCTCCATCCGCCTCCCGTCTCTGTCCGCACACACCCACCCCTGTCCCCGCTGGCACCTGGAGGGGTGGGGACGGGGCTCAGGCAGCGGGTGCAGCCAGGACCCTGCAATCTGGGCGGCGCCAAGGCCGGCTCGAGGGTCTCCAGGACCGGGCCGGCGGGGCTTGGGCAGACCCAGCTGAGGGGTGCCCACCCGCCTGCCCGCACGCTGGAGGTGCAGACTTGGGCTGCTCAGCCTGGTCCTGCGCCCCAGCGCACGTAAAGGGGACAGCCATCGGCACACGTGCCGGGCCCTGCTCTTGCGCGGCCACTCACAGCTGAGGACGCCCGTGTCTGGTCCCAGCAGAGGGGCGGCAGCCCCCAGCTGCACCCCAGGACAGTGTGCCCTCCGCACCGCCCGCCACACCGCTCTTGTCATTTCTGGGCCCCTGTCTGCTTCTCGCCACAAGGCACTGGGAGATCAGCGTCGTCCTGGGGCCCCTGGTTCAGACCCTGCGCCTAGCTGGGCTGGGGGGTCAGGGCGCACCCTGTCAGGCCCCACTGTGAGCTGCACCCCGAGGTCCCCACCCGCTGAGCCCGCCCTGCCACCCTCTAACCGCAGCTCGCCCACCCAGCAGACTCACACCGAGCCCCCCGCGCCCCTCTGCGCCCCTCGGCTCGGCCGGGCCCTGCTGACCGCGCCTGGGCTCTGCTCTCCCCGCAGGTATGCTCAGCCACCCGCCCATCCCCATCGCAGACATGGCCGAGCACACGGAGCGCCTCAAAGCCAACGACAGCCTCAAGCTGTCCCAGGAGTACGAGGTGAGCCCTCCGCCCCCTCCACGCCCACCCGGCCCGGCCCAGGGCCACCCGCTCAGCGCGCCTTCTCCCCACAGTCCATCGACCCTGGGCAGCAGTTCACGTGGGAGCACTCCAACCTGGAGGTGAACAAGCCCAAAAACCGCTACGCCAACGTCATCGCCTACGACCACTCCCGAGTTATCCTGCAGCCCATCGAAGGTAGCGTGCACAAAGCCGGGCTCCTGCCGCCTGTCCTGGCTCCCCGACAGCGCCGTGGGCCCAGGAGGCCTGGTTCTGGCACAGCCCAGGGCCACTGGCGTCTTTAGATGCGTCCCTGACCGCGCTCCCGGTGCTGTCGCAGGGCCTCTCGGTTGGCGCAGATCTGCTGCCCGAGGGAGATGTTTAGCAAGGTCCGCGGACATTTTTGGTTGTCGGTTTTGGGAAAGGGAATCAAGTGAAGTAATATGCAGTGCCCGGGGGCCAAGGCTGCCCCGCACCCTGCAGCATGCAAGCCGGCTCCACCATGGCCGGAGACCCGTGCCCTCAGTGCCCTGGGGACTGTCTGGGGCCATCGGGGGAGCTTCCAGGGCATGCGGGGCTGTTTCCCCCCGAGACCACAAGGCCCACGGGTGCGCGGCCTCTTGCCCCGGCCACAGGCATCGTGGGCAGTGATTACATCAACGCCAACTACGTGGACGGCTACCGGCGGCAGAACGCCTACATCGCCACGCAGGGGCCCCTGCCGGAGACTTTCGGGGACTTCTGGCGGATGGTGTGGGAGCAGCGGTCAGCCACCATCGTCATGATGACGCGGCTGGAGGAGAAGTCGCGGGTGAGGCCCGGCCCTCGGCCCTCGGCCCCCAGCCAGTCCGGCCCCGGCTGACGCCCCTTCTCCTGCCCGGTGCAGATAAAGTGTGACCAGTACTGGCCCAACCGAGGCACGGAGACCTACGGCTTCATCCAGGTCACCCTGCTGGACACCATCGAGCTGGCCACCTTCTGCGTGAGGACCTTCTCCTTGCACAAGGTGGGCAGCGGGGTGTGCAGCCTGCCCCTGGAGGGGGAAACTGAGGCTCAGGCTGGACCCCGCTGTGTCCAGGAACTGTAGTTCACTGATGGCTGCACCACCCGCCACCCCATCCAGGCTGTCTGTCACCGCGGGGACGGGCTGCCTGTGTGTCCCCGACACCCAGGCAGCTGTCAGCATCACACAGCTGTCCAGCCCAAGCACCAAGAGCTCTGAGCGGGGGGACAGGAGGCAGCAGGAAACCCTAGTCCCTTTATGCACAGGGGTGACGTGCTGTTTGTCACAGCCCATTCTGGGCACCAGGACACAGCAGGGACAAGGCAGACAACAAATAAGTGAGGTGACAGTGACTTCCACGTGTGGAAGGAGAAAAACCAGCAGAGAAGCAGCGTGTGTGGAGCAGCCCCGAAGGGCTAAGGACTGAGCGAGGGGACACAGAAGGGGGGGCAGTCGTGCAAAGGTCCCGGGGCAGGATGGAGCCTGGCAAGGTACAGGCGCATCAAGGAAGACGCCATGTGGCTGTAGCAGAGGGATGATGGGCAGAGAAGGGATGGGCAGGTGGCAGGAAGGACATGGGCTCTGGCCCAGGGGGTGGGAGCTGTGGAGGGCTGAAGGCTGAGGAGGGAGGACCTGAGTCCCACTTGGGCAGAGGGACGGTGTTGGCTGATGAGTATGGCTGAGAGGGCCGGCACAGGTGACTCCCAGGATCAGGCCACAGCACCTCAGAGGACAGCTGCCACCCGCTGAGCCAGTGGGTTTGGGGACGGGTTGGGCAGGAGACCCAAATGCGCACGGAGCATCCCCCGCCCCTGGGCTGGGGGCCACGTGGCGACGGCGCCGTCCCTGCGTCCCCAGAACGGCTCTAGCGAGAAGCGCGAGGTCCGCCAGTTCCAGTTCACGGCGTGGCCGGACCACGGGGTCCCCGAGTACCCGACGCCCTTCCTGGCTTTCCTGCGCCGGGTGAAGACCTGCAACCCGCCTGACGCCGGCCCCATCGTGGTGCACTGCAGGTGTGGGTGGCGTCGCCCCCCGGCCCGGTCCCCGCCCCCGTCCCCGTCCCCGCACACACACCGCCCCTGGCCCGCAGCTCCTGAGCCCCGCTCACCCACTGTCCCCGCAGCGCCGGCGTGGGCCGCACAGGCTGCTTCATCGTCATCGACGCCATGCTGGAGCGCATCAAGCCCGAGAAGACGGTGGACGTGTACGGCCACGTGACACTCATGCGCTCCCAGCGCAACTACATGGTGCAGACCGAGGACCAGTACAGCTTCATCCACGAGGCGCTGCTCGAGGCCGTGGGCTGCGGCAACACCGAGGTCCCCGCACGCAGCCTCTACAGCTACATCCAGAAGCTGGCGCAGGTGGAGCCCGGCGAGCACGTCACCGGCATGGAGCTGGAGTTCAAGGTGGCGCCGCCGCCCCTCTGGCCCCGCCCCCTGGCCCCTCCCTTCTGGCTCGGGCCCCGCCCTTCCTGGCTGTTGCCCCGCCCCCTTTGGCTCAGGCTCTGCCCCATCCTGACCGGCAACCCTACCCCTGTGCCACAGGGCCTTGTATTGATTGCTGGCCCCGCCCTCCCAGGTCAGGCTCCACCCCACCGTGATCACGCCTCTGGCCACACCCTATCAGTAACCACCGTTAAGGTTTTGGCCCCGCCCCTCTGGCTCAGGCCCCGCCCGCGCTGACCCCCGCCCCGCCCCTCTCCCTTGCAGCGCCTGGCGAACTCAAAGGCGCACACGTCCCGCTTCATCAGTGCCAACCTGCCCTGCAACAAGTTCAAGAACCGCCTGGTGAACATCATGCCCTATGAGAGCACCCGCGTCTGTCTGCAGCCCATCCGAGGTGTGGAGGGCTCGGATTACATCAACGCCAGTTTCATCGACGGCTACAGGTGGGAACGAGAGCTGCGCATGCGCGTGCACCCACGTACCCTGGTGGACCCAGGCGAGGAGGCAGCTTCAGCTGTGTCTCACGGGCTCTTTTGGACCGGTCACGTCCCGCTGCGAGGCGGCTTGGGGTCCACTCGTGGAACTAGGGAGTGGGCAGTGATTCTGCAGTACCCAGACACAGGCCCTAGTGGGGGTATCTCAGGATTGTTAACCTCTGACCCAGGGAAGGGTATTGAAGCAAAAGGAACAGTCCGTGCAAAGCCGCAGGATAAGATTGAGTTTGAGCTTGAACATAACTGGCAGTAGCTCGGTGGCAGGGGAGGGAGGTGGAGGAAGACGGCAGGAACAACCTGTAGCTTCCTCAAGGCATATGAACTTTTGCTGAGGCTATCGGATTCTTCATGAGCCCAGTGGAACTATGAAGAAATAGCTGGTGCAGTGGCAGCCTTTGAGGAGTCTTGATGTGGCCCCAGTTCACCAGACCTCCCTACCGGGCTTGGGCTCACACACCTCCCCCTGCAGGCAGCAGAAGGCCTACATCGCCACCCAGGGCCCCCTGGCGGAGACCACAGAGGACTTCTGGCGCATGCTATGGGAAAACAATTCCACCATCGTGGTGATGCTAACTAAGCTTCGAGAGATGGGCCGGGTGAGCGGGGGCCATGGGGGGCAAGGCTGGGGCTGGGCCTGGGATGGGGCAGAGGCTGACTGTGGCCCCCGCCCCCTGACAGGAGAAGTGTCACCAGTACTGGCCAGCCGAGCGCTCCGCCCGTTACCAGTACTTTGTGGTGGATCCTATGGCGGAGTACAACATGCCACAGTACATCCTCCGGGAGTTCAAGGTCACCGACGCCCGGGTGAGTGACCGAGGACCGGCGGGGTGGCACTGGGGACCCGGGCGGCACTTGCTGGTGAGTGGTGATGATGACTCCCAGCGTGGCCCTGGAGGCTGCAGGTGCGGTGCTGTGGGAGGTCAGTGACGGGGGAGGGTGGGGACAGGAGCACACCATGTTTGGGGTAAGGTGACACGGGTACAGGCTGGGTGTGGTGGAAGCACCCGCCTGCCATCCCAGCAGTCTGGGAGGCTGAGGCAGGAAAGTGCCATGGGGTGGAGGAGCAGGGACCGCCCGAGGGGCCGATTTAGGGAGGACTCAGGCCACAGGGTGGGGAGACCCTGCAGCTTGGGGTGGCAGCGTGGGGGATGCCATGCGGAGGTCGTGAGGCAGGGACCCTTGTGTGGGGTGAGGGACAGGAGGAGGCAGGGACCTTGGGTGGGACCCTGGGTGGGGCAGCGGCCATTGGAGCTGGCAGGTCCCTCGCACCAGGTGTCGCTGGACGGTAAAGCACAAGGCTGGGGCTGTCGCCGTGGTGACAGTAAATGGGTCTTCGGGCCGAGCTGACCATGCAGGTGACAGTGCCCGGCCTCCATCCCCCAGGACGGCCAGTCACGCACCGTGCGGCAGTTCCAGTTCACCGACTGGCCGGAGCAGGGCGTGCCCAAGTCGGGCGAGGGCTTCATTGACTTCATCGGCCAGGTGCACAAGACCAAGGAGCAGTTCGGCCAGGACGGGCCCATCTCGGTGCACTGCAGGTGGCCTGGACCACGGAGTGGGCGGGGCCGGAGATGGGGGCGGAGTTGGGAGGCTGTAGTCTGGGTGTGGCCGGGGCGGGGCGTGGCCAGGGCCGGGCCTCAGACTCCGCCTCCCGCAGCGCTGGCGTGGGCAGGACGGGCGTGTTCATCACCCTGAGCATCGTGCTGGAGCGCATGCGCTACGAGGGCGTGGTGGACATTTTCCAGACCGTGAAGATGCTGCGGACCCAGCGGCCGGCCATGGTGCAGACGGAGGTAGGGCACCCGCCCCAGCGTCCCCCTCCGGCTGCAGCCTCCGCGCTGCCCCCTGCTGGCCGGAGAGGGTTGTAGTCCAGGGATTGAGCCCGGGCCTCCCGGAGCAGCCTCCCCCGGCCTCAGCCTCCCGGCGGGCTCCGCACAGTCAGACCAGCGCCGCCCGGGTGGGCCCGCGGGTGCCGGGGGCACAGGGGGGGACCTGACGGGGGACAGAGGGGGGACCTGACGGGGGGGCAGGGGGGGGAACCTGACGGGGGGGCGGGGGGGGACCTGACGGGGGGGCAGGGGGGGGGACCTGACGGGGGGGCAGGGGGGGACCTGACGGGGGGCCGGGGGGGGAACCTGACGGGGGGGCAGGGGGGGGACCTGACGGGGGGGCAGGGGGGGGGACCTGACGGGGGGGCAGGGGGGGACCTGACGGGGGGCCGGGGGGGGACCTGACGGGGGGCCGGGGGGGGACCTGACGGGGGCACGGGGGGGACCTGACGGCCCCTCGCCCGCTCGCCCGCAGGACGAGCACCACTTCTGCTACCAGGCGTCGCTCGAGTACCTCGGCAGCTTCGACCACTATGCAACATAAGCCATGAGGTCCCGCCGAGGCCCGGCGGGCGGGCGGGCGGGCGGATGGACGGGCTGCCGGGCTGCGGGGCCGGGTGGCCTCCGGACGCCCCACCTGAGCCGGCCCTCCGCCGTCACACACTTGGAACATTCCTCGTTTCCTGCGATTCCAAACCAAGACTGGGGTGGGGGTGGGGGGTCGGCACGCAGTCGGGGATCCCCAGACCCCAGGGGGTGGGGTGCGGCCGGGGACCTTGCCCTGCCGGAGCCTCCTTCCCTGGGGCGCCGGGCCAGCGTGGGGGCGAGGGCGCAGCCCAGCTTTCTTTTCAACCTTTCAGTGTAACTGTATCCGGTGACATTTCTTTTTTTTTTTTTTTCTTTTTTTTTTTAAATAGTGTATTTTTTTCCATTTTTTTTTAAAGAAGAAAAAACAAAAACAAACAAAAAAAAAGACTTGCCAGTCAGTGACTTTGAAAAAGAACAATTTTGCTTTTCATATTCTGTTCAAAGACAGTCTATTTTTTCACGGTAGAAAATGACCTTTGTGATCGATTGGTCAGTCGGAGAACGCCTGCACCCAGGCCTGCGGCCACCCCCACTCAGGCTGGCTCCCCAGTTTCCCTGCCCAGCATCGCAAGCTGTGCCTACCCCGCCCACCGCCCGCGTAAGAATGAGGCCTCCTTGTCTTATTTGTATTCTTCCTTTGCCCCGACTTTTTTTTTTCTATTAAATTTTCAGACATATCAAGTACAGTCCTGAGGGTGGGGACAGCAGCTAGCTCAGACCCTCCAGGGACAGGGCCCCGTCCCCCCATGGCAGCCCGAGCATCCCTCTGCACCCGGAGGGCACCGGGCGGATGCAAGGGCCCCACTGTGCCCTTTGCCCCGCATAGCGGGGACCAGTGGGCACCAGCGCAGGTCCGGCTGCCCATCCCGCCGGGTCTGCATTGCTGTGACACTCACCCAGCGGACCCCTGGGTGGCTTCCACCTCTATGTAGATAAACCGACTTTGTATTAAAGGGAGATGACCGAGCTGGCTCTGGGGGAGTCGTTTGTGCGCACTGGACCCTGAGCAGAGAGCGGGGCGCTTAGCATCCGTGAGCTCAGCGGTGCTGAGCACTCTGGAGCCCCGGGGAAACTGAGTCCACAGGGAGGGGACCGGCTGTGAGCAGCGGCCTCCCATGTGCACCTCGGGTCTGCACATGCAGGGCGGAGGACGCTGCCCAGAGGACGGGGCAGGAGGGGCACCGTGCAGATGCATCAGAAGCGAGCCTTCACCCTGACCACGGGTACAAGCTGCAAAACGGCTTGACCAGTGCAGTGGCGCCCGCCTGTCATCCCAGCACTCAGGAGGCTGAGGTGGGAGAATTGCTGTGAGTTTGAGGCCAGCCTGGGCTATAGGGTGAGCCCCTGCCTCAAAAGCAGAGCCAGGTGACTGCACAGCTATTGCAGTTTCTGGGGGATCCAGCGACCTCATGCTGCCAGGCAGGGACTCTCACTGAGCTAGGTCCCCGCCCACAATGCAGAATTCTAAACTGTTTCATTGTTCATTTTTGGAGCGCCAGCATGGGAACCCAGGGCCTTTGCACTGAGCCTCACACCCGGCCCTTCCTGGTTTCATTTTGAGGCTGGGCCTCCCTACGATGCTACGTTGCCCAGGCTGAGCTCAGACTTGCAGGCCGCCTGCCTCCGCCTGTCCTGCGCTGGGTCGTAGGTGTGCAGGCAATGAAACCAGCTCGCAAGGGAGGGGCCGTGAGGGGCGGCCACGGGCACAGGCGGCCTCCCTGGCGCTCCGCAGGGGAAGGGTGCGCCGTGAGGAGAGGAAACACTGGGGTCCTGTGGGAACTGTTAGTGTGGCGCAGAGACACGATTGGGCCCAGGTGGGCACACGTAATCCCAAGTCCCAGGAGGCTGAGGCAGGAGGGTCACTGTGAGCTCAAGGGCAGCCTGAGCTGCATAGTGAGACCCTGTCTCAGGAAAAAAATACATAAATAAATACACGGAAGAAAACAGGTTTGGGAAGAAAGTTACAGTATTTTTTTTTTTTTTTGCTTCAAATTCCTTGAGAGAAAGTTACAGTATTAATGCCCTTACTAAACATTTAAAGACATACAGAAGATGTTTGTTAGCTGGGAATAAAGATATAAAAGGCACATGCATACCTATGTAGCAATACATCATTTGTGGTACAGTGTGATCCCTACGAAAACACAATGGCTATTTTTCCCCAGAAATAGCCACCCCTCAAATTTATGTGAATTGTAGGGAATCCACATAATCCAAATAATTGAAAAAAAGCAACAGATCAGAAGCCAGATGCTTCCCCATGTCTAAACATACTGCAAAGCTAGAGCCACGGAAACACAGTGCGCCTGGAATAACAGAGTCCACAGGAAGGCAGATCCGAGTTAAAGCCCCAGATCTACGGCCACATGACCTCATAAATAAAATAAGTCAATAGAATATAATCTTCAAAGACAAAAATATAAAGGGAGGGAGAAGGACTGGGCCAGGTGTGACTCCCTCGGGCTTCGCAGGCGACTGATCGACCGTGCAGCCATCGTCAAGCCGGTGCTCACTGCTGCGTTGCAATAAAACTTTATTAAACCGCTGGTGTGCGCAGCACTGGCCTCAGGCGCAGCCAGCCGATGGCCGATTCACGGCATCACACTAAGAAACGAGGTCAGCGACGCCCAGCGTCACAGTCGCCTCCTGTTCCAGAGCCGCTGGCCAGTGCGGTGAGACAGACGCAGGAGGCGAGGTGCATGCTGGGAAGAGACGCAGCTTTGCTCCCAAGTGGACAGAGGGTGCAACGCGGGGTGGGCGTGGGGGTGGGGGGCTCGGGTTAGGGCCTGCGTGCTGTGTCACCCCGAGCAGGCCCAGGTGGAGGAAGTCAAGGATGGTTCGACCGGCTCATGGCGTCAGGGGGCGCCGGATTAGTCGCTTGGGAGAAGCGGGCCATCTCTAACCCAGCCTACAGGGAACCGTCACGCTGTGTCATTTTGTTACCAGGGCCCCAGGCCACACTCATCCACACGCACCCCTGAAGGCCGGCACCCTCCCAATCCTGCTCGTGTTTCTACCGGGACTGAGGGTTGAGCACAGGGCCAGCATAAGTACATTTTTTTTTTTTTGTCTTTTTCGTTTTTATCGGTACCAGGGATCGAACTCACGACTGCCTGCTTGCAAGGCAGGCGCTTATGCCGCTGAGCTAAATCCCCAGCCCCCATAAGTACATTTTTAAGGCACATCCATTGACCCATAAAAATGTCCAGTTTATCATTCTTTATGGCTGAGTAATACTCCATTGTATAAAAAGATGCACTCCTCAGCGGATGGACGTCTAGGTTGTTTCCCAGATCTACAAACTGTGCTGCTATAAACATGGGTGCACATGTATCGCTGTGGGTGATGTTTTTTATACCCAGAAAGGGAGTAGCTGAGTCAAATAGACCTCCAGTCCTAGATTTTCTGAGGAGTCTCCACACTGATTTCCACAGTGGTTGCCCCAATCTGCACCCCCACCAACGGCGGAGAAGGGCTCCTTCTTCCCACAGCCCGGCCAGCATTTGTTACTGGCTGGTTTCCTGGCTGAGGTGGGGCCTCAGCGTTGTTTTAGTTTGCATCTCGTGAATGGGCTGTGCTGTTGAAGGCGAACAGTGGTTTTTTAGTCTTCCTTTTTAAAATTCTTAGCTATCACTTATTCATTTATTGTGATCCTTCAAACACACTATGCAAGCACTCACCACTGGGCTACCGCCCCCCCCCCTTTTTTCTTTATTTGGTGACAGATTCTCACTCTGCTCACCCAGAATGGCCTCCAATTTTATGACCCTTCTGCCTCAGCTTCCCAGGATTACAGGAATGTGCCACCACGCCCCGCTGAGTCACTTTATCTTTTGTTTATTTGGTTGGTTTTCTGTTTGTTTGTTTCCTTTTGTTTTTGACACAGGGTCTCCCTGTGTCGTCCAGGTGGGCCTGGAGCCATGTAACCCAGGGTGGCCTCAAACTTAGAGGGATCCTCCTGCCTCAGCCTCCCAAATTCTTGGATCACAGCGGTTCACGTCACCACGCTGAACCACGTTCTGTCATGAGGGTAGGCACAGGTGTCTCCTGGCATAAACTGGCTGTGAAGTGTTTCAAAAAGGAAGGGAGGAAACAAGGAACAAAGAAAATACTAATAATAATGATAATAATACAGGGATTGGTGGGAACAGTATTCTCACAAGCTCAGATATCCCTTTATGATCTATTTTGTAATCACGAAAGTGAATGAGACTGGGACAGTTGTACCAGGAGTTCCCCAACAGCCTAGGGGTTGGAGGCTTGGTCTCGGGTTTGGTAATATCGGGAGGCGGTGGGACCTTTAAGAGGCGGGGCCTAGTGGGAGAGGTGAGGTCATCAGGGCGTGGTCTTGGTGGGTGGGCGTGGCCTTGCAGGGGATTGTGGGAGGAGTCTCTCCTCTGCCCGAGGCCGCATGCTGTCGCCATGGTTACCCTCTCCCCAAAAGCATCCCAGGACTGACCCCTCCAAAATCATGAGCCAAGTAAACTCCTGTAAGCAGGTCCCCTGGAGTTCTGGCTACAGTGACGGGCAGGGGCGGCCACAGGCTCTTTCCAGGGAGGACCTGGGCCCCACCACCATGACCCAGGGGCGGAGAAGGACCCCACATCCTCTCCATGGCCTCCTCCCCAAGAGGAGGGGACAGCGACACAGCTCGAGTTCCAGCAAAACACAGCAGCTCTGTGAAGCCAGCGAGCTGAGGTCGCGAGCAGAAACTGTCGCAGACCAGAGGGCCGCGGGGTGGGGTGGGACCCCTCAGGGCAGCGTGGCACCTGGGCATGGCCTGGGCATGGAGGGGGAACTGACCACAAGGGGCATTCAGGAGGAAGCGTCCACAAATGGGCATTCCAGGAGGAGGAGGGCTAATCCCAGAACTCCGGGAAGCTGAGGCAGGAGGATCTCAGCTTTAAACCCAGCCTGGGCAACTTAGGGATTTCCTAAGACCGCCCTGTCTCAAAATAAAAATTAAAAAGGGCTGAGAATGCAGCTCAGTGCAAAGGCTGTGGATTCCATCACCAGTGAATGCTGCTCAAAGATAGGGGCACCCGGGAACTTGGGGTGAATTAGCCTCGCCACAAACGGGGGAGTCAGCATTTGCAAGTTGACAGTGGATCAAAAGTTTCCTGAGACGGGGTCTCCCTGTGTGGTCCAGGTGGCCTCAGATTTGCAGTCCTCCTGCCTCAGCCTCCCACGTGCTGGGAGGATCGGACTGCGCCACACAGCCTGGCTCAGGTCAGAATTATTCCTTAAAAGCTTGCGTCTGAACACGTGTGGACTTTCCTCCTCAGCACGATGCCCCAAAGAAAGCCAGGCAACACCTGTCTCCACAGCGTTCACATTGTGGCCTGTTTTCTAAGTCACCTGCAGGTGATTTAAAGACCACGAGAGCTGGGCATGGCGCACCCTGCATCCCAGCACTCGGGAGGCTGAGGGAGGCAGGAAGTAAGTCCTTGGTGCGTGTGGGACCAGCCTGGGCAACACAGTGAGTTCAAAGCCGGCCTGAACTACACAGAGACCCTGTCCCCTCCCCGCCCCCCAAAAACTAACAAACTAAAAAAAACGAATCTTCAACTCACATTGTCAATGAGTTTTTGAAACATCGCCCTATCATAAAATAGCTGCCTCTAGACTACAAGTAAATGGAATATTATACAGCAATGATAGAGGCCAAGCATGAAATTGCCTGGCTGGAAGATCGTCCTCTTTTACAGACAACTAACCCAACCTCAAGTCAAGCTCGGGCAAGCAAAGTCTCATTACCATAATTTTGTTTCCTTCATGTTTATTTTTATGGTTATCTGTCTTGTAAAAGAAATAAGCTTTATAAATTCTCTTCCTGAATAAGGAAGAAACACGGGCTTCGGGCCCAGACCGTGAAGCTTCAGGAATCGTCCTGGGGATAAAGGCCAAGGCGAGAGCCTGGAGATTAAAATAGACCTTTAAAAAAACCTCTAAAGCCACTTTCTCAC